CATGTCCGCACTGCCCGAAGGCCTTTGGCCACCGCTCCAAGCTGGCGGCCCACCTCTGGACCCACGCGCCCGCCCGCCCCTACCCGTGCCCCGACTGCCCCAAGTCCTTCTGCTACCCCTCCAAGCTGGCGGCCCATCGCCACACGCACCACGCCACCGACGCCCGCCCCTATCCTTGCCCGCATTGCCCCAAAGCTTTCTCATTTCCCTCCAAACTGGCTGCCCATCGCCTGTGTCACGACCCTCCCACCGCGCCGGGCAGCCAGGCCACCGGCCGGCACCGATGCGCCAGCTGCGGCCAGGCCTTTGGCCAGAGACGTCTCCTGCTTGTCCATCAACGCGGCCACCACCAGGCGGAGAGCCAGGGAGAGAGAGAGTGAACCCGCCCACAGGCTCACGGGCGCCCTCTGCCGCCAGCTCTGGTCAATAAAGAGGTGGCATTTCTAAACCCGGTTGTATGAATGGATTCGCCCTCTCCAGATAGCTGGGTGGGAGAGGGATCGGCCATTTGTACGGGGCTGGAGTTTAGAAGGCTGAGGAACTCCGCTCACCTGGAAGGGTGGGCGTCAAGCACAGAGTTAGCACTGGGTCCCACACCATGGACCTCGCGATGTGGTTTTGATGGGCCTGGCCCTGCCCACTTTGTTCCCCACCCACTTATATGGCAAAGGTAAAGATATGCTGGGTTGGGAAGGAATGTAGGAAGACAAGCTTGTTGAAAGTTTAACTTTGTCTCCACCTTGGCCATATGACTGTATCTATGACATTTAGAATACACACTTGCTTATTTCAATTATTCCTCTGGTAGGAATTTACCCTTCTGAACTCAAACGTGTGTGATGGGTGGCCAAAGTCTGGAAACAGCCCATGGACAGGGGGCTGGCTAAGGTAGCTGTAGGCAGGTCAGCGCTGTACGTACTGATGTGAAAAGAGCCTGGAGATAGACCAGAGAGAAAGGCCAGAGCAAAGGGTAGACCCGACAGTGTGAAAGCCTTAAAAGCCCAAACTTTGGAGCCAGTTCTGACCCCTACATAGTTTGCAAACCACAGTTTGCTAAGTAAGATGGGGGTGTTGCAGGCATGTGTAAGGGGCCAGCAGCACTTCAGGGGGTCACTTCCCCTTCTGGAGGGTACCCCCACTACCAAATAAGGATGAGTAAATTAACATTGGATGGGTCTTTGTTCCACAGACATGTATTAAGCAGCTACTGTGTGCTGTGCCCTGCACGGGACATTAGGAACAGGGCAGTGAAGACAGATCTGATCTAGTGAGGAGGACCTTGGGCACTAGGCAAGTAGTGGCAAAACAACAAGAAGAACAAAAGAAGCCGAGTCCACTTACAAAGATAAGTCTGGGGCTGGAGGCATGGCTCAAGTGGTAGAGCCCCTGCCTAGCAAGCACCAAGCCCTGAGTTCAAACTCCACTACTGCCAAAAAACCAAAAAAAGGACAGGAACAAGCGTGGAAGCCTTGGCTTGTACCCTTGCCATATACATTAATCATTACAAAGCTGCAGTGGTGTTGGGTTCCCATGGCTCATGCCTATAATTCCAGCTACTCAGGAGGCAGAGATCAGGAAGATGGAGGTTCAAGCCCAGTTTTAGTTTGTGAGACCCAATCTCGAAAATACCCAACACAAATAAGGGCTGGCGGAGTGGCTCAAGTGGTAGAGCACCTGCCTAGCAAGTGTGAAGTCCTAAGTTCAAATCCCAGTACTGCCACAAAAAAAAAAAATCAAAGCTACATTGTAAAGTTTCTGGTACTGTGGCTTGAGAATCCAGAAACAGATCTGTGTTTATACCGATACATGGCAAACCCTACATGTAGATCAGGGGTGGCAAGTTTTCCCTATTAATGGCCAGATAATAACAACCAGGCAACTCTGCTACTGTAGCAGAGAAGCAGCCATATATGTTATTATACATAGGAATGGGCATGGCTGTGTTCCAATAAAACATTATGTGCAATCAGTGGGCTGCATTTTGCCTGTGGGCTGCAATTTGCACTCTGGCTATGAACGAGCGAGGAGAGGAGACTTGGTGAATGAGGCTGAGAGACATGGTAAAGCCTAGATGGGATCCTTCGATATTCATGACACCTTCCTTCATGAAGATGTTCACTTTCTCATCCCCAGAACCTGGATGTTAGCTTACACCTGGCTACAGGGACCTGGTGGATGGTTAAGGATCTTGTTTTGAGATGGGGGGACTCTCATTTTTCAGCCAGGGCCCATGTGATCACCAGGGTCTTTATATGGGAGAAAGGGCAGCAGAGCACAGGAAGCAAAGGTCACAGTGATGACAAGCCTGAAGTTGTGGAATTGGGGTGGCCTCCAGAAATGAGAAGAGGCAAGGAGATGGATCTCTCCTTAATCTCTGGACCAGCTGTGGACCTGCAGACCTCTGCACACCTTTCTTTTAGGCCACTGAGGCTGATTTTGGGCTACTGACTTGTAGAATAAAAAAGAAAATACATTCATGTTGTTTAAAGTCACCACACTCCTAGTGACTTGTTACAGCAACAACAGGAAAGGAATATAGATTGTTACTTCACACCACACACAAAAACAAGTTTCATTTAAGATCTACATTTGAAGAGCAAAATTCAAAATATTTAGTTGGAAATAAAAGAAAATTATCTTAGTAACTAGAACTTTTGGGACAGAGTCTCACTATATAGCCCAGGATGGCCTCAAAATCACAATTCTGCCTCTGCCTCTTGAGTGCTGGGATTACAGCTGTGCACCACCACGCCCAGCTGAAAAAATATCCTTGAGAGACAAAAAAGTACAAATCATAAGTAGAAAGATGGTTAAACTTGACCATAAACAAGTGTAAAGTAAGAGGGTACAGTGGCACGCTATTGTATAGGAGGGGTAAAGAAAGGCTTTGAGGGGAAGGTGGAGCTGAGACTGACAGTTGTGGAGGATGAATGAGAGATGGTTTGTGGGAAGTATCCAGCACGAGGCGTAGAAAGGAGCGGGCCAGTGGAAGTTAGATTAGCAGGCCATGAACTGTGACCTACTCAGGAAGCCCTGGGGAGGACTGGTGGGAGAGGTCAGGGTTCTTCCCTCTTCCAAGCCCCATAGTGCCTTGTATGCAGTTTTATCCTGAGGTGTCCTGGCAGAGCTCTTCCAAAGCAGCCATACCAATAGCAGATGCAAGGACACACAAAGATTTGATCTGATTAAACATATTGATCTGGCCCAACCTTACTTTGCAGACAGAGGAAAGGAGGCCAGGAGAGACATGTCTGTCCACAGCTGAACAATGGGGCATGGGCTGCGTCTCAGTGGATTGCACCTCTTCATGCCCCGATGCCCTGCTGTTCCTTGAACACCTCAGACCCACTCCTGCTTCTGGGCCTTTGCACTTGCTTTCCCTCTGCCTGGAAGGGCTCTCCCAAGTTCTCCCGTCCATTGCCAGTCCCTGCAGAGGGGTGAGTCCTGAGAGGCCTTCTTTGATCGCCCTCTCTAAACCATGCCAGCCCCGCCCTGTTACTCTGTTTATTTTCTTCTCACTGCATTTCCCACTGTCTGATGCTGCACCATGCACTCGCTACCTCTCCCTGGCCTAGCACACCAGCCCCATGAGGCCAGGGACCAGTGTCTTTTTACACACTGTGTCCCAGTATCTCACACATGGTGGGCATCCTTCCCAAGGATGTTCACATCCTAACCCCTGGAACCTGTGAATGCTGTGTGACAAAGGAGAATTAAGGTAGAAGGACTTACGACTGTTAGTTAGCTGGTCTTAAAACACAGAGATTATCCTTGGTGACCAAGGTGGGATCTGTGTAAGCACAGGTCTTTAAATATGGAAGAGGCAGGTGGCAGAATGGCTCAAGTAGTAGAGCACGTGCCTCGTAAGTATGAGGCCCTGAGTTCAAACCCCAGTGCTGCCGTAAATAAATAAATAGTATGGAAGAGGCAGTGTCACAGAGATGCAACATGAGAAACTCATGGGCCATTACTGGCTTGGAACATGGCGGGGCATGGAATGTGGGTGGAAAAAACAAGCCAGCAGACTGGCCTGAGAACCTCCAGAGACCACAGCTCTGCCTACACCCTGAATTTTGCACAGAAGCCCATTCTGGACTTCAAACCTGCAGACCTGTTAGCTGATGAATTTGTCATTTGAAGGCACCAAGTGTGTTGCCATCTGGTACAGCCTAGGAAATGAACAGTGAGCGATCAGGCCAACTGAATGAATGAACAAAGGAGTGAGTGAAGCAGTGCAATGCCAGGTTCATCTTAGTGAGAGAAAACAAGGTCCAGAACAGGAAAGGGGTGAGGCTGGCACCTTTGAGTGGCTGATGAGGACAAAGTTATTTCCTAACTTGGCTGCTACCCAAAGGTCAGATTTCAGTGTTGATTCTTCAGTGGCCTTCACCCGGCTCAAACACCTCTCCTGCTTCCCCACCCTTACAATGAAGACCAAACTCTTGAGCCTGGAGTTCACAGCCTTCCAGGGCAGCCCTGTGCAAAAGGTCTTTCCACAGTGATGGGGGTGTTTTCTATTCGCACTGTCAACAGCAGCCATTTTTTTGTAACCTAATTAAGATTGCCACCTGTGTCTAGCAGTGACCACATTGGACAGCACCACCTCAAGGCTCCAGGGATTTGGGAGGGCAGATATGATGCCCTTCCTCCCCTTCTGCCTGAGTTTGCTAGATGTAAAACCATGCTGGCAACACAAGTTACTTCTGAAAGCCCTGCAGAAAGGTACTATTCTGGTCTGGGGGAGGAAACCCAGGCTCCAGGAGAATGGCACAGCTCATAAACATTCAGGCCTGCAGCCCATGACCCACACAGGGACACTGTGACTGCTCAGAGGCTAGATCCACTTGAGGGGCCACATAGAGTGGCAGGGTCCCAATTCCCTGCACAGGGCTACAGGGGCAGGGAGAAAAGGCCAAGCCCCTCCCTTCCTGATCTCTGAGAGATCTGCATTCATACCGGACCCCAGTGGACTCTAGGACAGGGACCCTAAGGCAGCCTGGGGCCCTCGGAGGGAAAGTAGACCAAGATGATTCCCAAGCTGGGAGCCTCTCGCAGTTTATGGAGACGCCAAGTGAGATGGTCTCCAAACCAAGTCACCTTTATTAAACGTGTGTGTATGCGTGTGAGTGTGTGCACATGTGTGCATGCAAGGAGCACACTCAGGCCTGGGGCACCACCCCGTACAGCTGGTGAGGAAGTAATCTCTGCTTCTCGTTGCAACTGTAGATCCATCGGGGCCGGACGAACGCCAGGGAGGGGTTGTCCACCAGGGCCTGGGGGGGTCCACATGGGCATGTGTAATCAAGGAACGGAGGGCATGTGAAGGCAGATTGGGGTCCCCCATCTCTGCCCCTCCAGGCTCACCTCCTCGAAGCTGGGATCCCACTCCTGTGCTGTGATCACAAATTGGACTCGGTCACTCATGTAGTCCTCGAGTTCCCTGGCAGCCAAGGAGAAAAGAAGTGGAGGGCATATCAGAGACTTGGAGGCCCCTCTCATACTGTGCTCCCTAACCTTTCTCAAAGACTCTGACCTCCCTCCAGCCCAGCCCCTGTCCTCTGGAGCTGTCTGTGGGCCTCCACCGCCCATGTGGCAGCCTTACCAGGCCACAGTGGCAACGCCCCACAGTGGCAATCCTGATGGCAACTCTTTCAGAAGGAGGTAAGGACCCTCACTTGGAGAAGAGCAGCCTGACGGGAGGCATTTGGTCTCCATGGCCTGTGCCCACCCTGCCGGGCTCGCCCCTTCTCCATCCTCCCCACTGCCCTCCTTCCCACAAGCCCGTACCCTCTGTCATGTCCCTGTGCCCTCAGTTAGACCATCCTCCACCCCAGACTCACCCATTGAAGGCTGTGACATATCGGATGAGCTTCCGACGCTCGTCTCCAGGGAATTCCCCGTACAGGAAGAAGTGTTTACCCTGGAAGAAGTCTGAGGGAAAGATGGTGGAGGGGCAACTGTGACTCCCAGAAACCCAAGGCTCCAGTCAGGAGCAACAGAACACTGGAGCTGAGACAGGGAGGCAGGAATGGTGGCTGAGGATAAGTGGGGGGGTGGGTCACAAGGGACAGACACCGATTGCAAGCCAGTTCCCAGGCCAGTGGCCCATCAGAGTTTCCGGGAGGTTAATTTGTGCCTTTTGCTTATGGATTGACTGGTGGACAAACAGTTACTTAATAGTAACTTGTCTTCAACACAGGCTACAGATGTTTCACTGGTCTGAACCAAGATGGAAGCTCCAGAGACAGCGGTTTCTCCATCTGGGCTGGCTCATTCTTCCCACCACCTTCCCTCACTCTGGTCTCCAGGGTGACTTTCCAGGCATGGACTTGCTGGTGCCCCTTTGGGGCTTTGGAGGATCAAGGTACTTTCTAGCAAAGAGCCTGGCAAACAGTCCTCTCAGTGGTCCTGAGCCTCACCTCCATTCACACTTCCCTCTGTTCCTGGAACTTCCTAAGCAGTGCTCCACCATCTGAGCCACATTCCCAGCTCTTTTTGTTTTGTGTTGCAGTTGGGCCTCCTGTTTTTTGCCTGGGTAGGCCTGAATCTTGAGCCTCCTTCCTATGGCCTCCTATGTAGCTGGGATTACAGACACACACAAGTATGCCTGACTTATTGACTGAGATGGGATCTCAGTCTTTGCCTGGACTGGCTTCAAACCTCGATCCTCCTGATCTCCACCGTCCCAAGTAGCTGGGATTATAGGCATGAGTCACTGTGTCTAGCCCTCCTCCCTCTGATTCTTGAGGGCAAGAAGTTCTGTCACGCTCCCCATTCTGCAACCCCCTGAAATTCTCCTATTGCCTGGATTTCCTATTTATCTTAGGAACTCAAACAAACGGTGTACAGCATCTGTGTCCTGGGTGATAAAAATGACAGCAAACACATGAGTGCCCACCACCAAAGTCCCAAGAGACAGCAGTGTCCTCAGCACTTTGCTCTTGGGAAGGCCAGGCCTCCCCTAGACAGAACTGAGAGGCGGGGTGAAGCACTGGTGAAAGGGCAGGTTGGTCACACAGAGAGGGGAACCCCAGGTGACACTGCTGGACTGTAAGGAGGGTGGCAGAACAAATCAGGAGGGACAGAGGAAAGTCACACAGAGGATGCTGAAGGGAGGGAACAGGCTAGGAGAATAGGGAGCAACCCTAGGTTTCTGGCGCAAGTCACAGCTGGGGCAGAGGGGCAGGAGGTACAGCAGGGACAGGATTTCCAACCTGGGAGCTCTGGAATGGGCAGGTCGGGAGACTCCGGGTGATCCTCATTGTCTGTGTTCTCATCCGTGGAGCCCGCATACGGGTCCTCACCGTTTTCCCCTGTGCCAGGGGGCTGCCTCTGCTCTCTCCGCTCCGCCACCCTGGTGCAGCCAAGAGTTGCAGGGGGCGAGTGCACAGAACAGACCCCTCCCCCTAGGCCACCCAACCCTACCTCCTCAGCTCGTCCTCAGTGTCCCCGGACTCTTCTGCCCCATTATCCGGTCCTGCAATTAGAAGCTCAGTCAACCAGAGGCCACATCTCATCTTCAGACACCTAAACACAGTCCAGATATGCTAACCCAACCTCATCTGTGCTCCCGATCCAGTCACCTGGACCCATGGCTCCTCTCCCTCCACTCCATGTATCTGGATAAAACCCCACCTCCCTCAGACCCAAGAGTCCAGGCCCAGCCCCTCCTCCCTCAGACCCAGGGGTCCAGGCCCAGCCTCCTCCTCAGTTCCAGGGGTCTAGACCCCACCTTCCTCCCTCAGACTTTGACCTGATGGCTCGTCCTCGATGTCTGTATCTTCCTGGGGTCCTGGAGAGGCTGCTTTGGTCAATTCAGGGGTTGGGGGCTTTTGGGGTGAACTGGGTCCCGCTGCCTGGGGGGGCTTAGCCTTGGTCTGGGGATGCTGAAGAGGATAGATAGGTGAGGCATGCAAGAGTGGTGTAGCTGTGGGTGGGGGGGCTGCTTGCAGAAGACAGGTATGGGGTGGGGGGAAGCACAGCAGACCCTGGCACTGCCCCCCTGCACCCTCCCTCCCCAGGCAGGGCATCAGACCTTTTGAGGAGGCTTGGGGACTTCATCTGAACTGCCGCCGCTGTCAGAGCCCCCTTCATCCTCACTACTTGAGCCAGGCCCTGCCATGAGGTACCTGGTTGGGGCAGGGAGAATTGGGGCCTCAGACAGAGGACGGAGTCCTCTGAGGGAGGCAGGAGGGTGGTGGTGACAGCCACAGGCATATACCACATTCTCTTGTTGGGGGGGTCCTGGTGTCTCTCTCACCTGCTTCTTCCCAGCATGGCCCCAGCCAGCCTAGCCACCCCCACAGACACCTAAGCACACGCTCTTCCATTCCTTTGGGGAAGCAGTGTTCCATGTCAAGAGGAAAGAAACATCTGAAACAGCCATCCCCTTTGGAAATTAACTCAGCTGCTCATTAGGAAATAACTCTCCAAAGCAAAGTCCAGTCCCTCGAACCTACAACTCCATCTGGGCATCCAGCCAAACAGGGATGCAAAATATTTGGGGAAAAAACTGTATCTGAAGCTGGGTGTGGTGGTGCACACCTTTAATCTCAGCACTTGGAAGGCTGAGGCAGAAGGATCATGAGTTCAAGGCCAACTTGGGCTTCAAAGCAAGACCCTGTCTCAAAATACCAAAACAAACAAAACAACCACCAAAAAACTGCACCTGTACTGAACATGTACAGACTTTTTTTTTTGGTCCTTAGTCCCTACGTAACAGTATAACAATTATTTCTGTAGCATTTACAGTGTTTGGTATAATAAGTCACCTGGACAGGATTTGAAGATGAAGGTTGTGGGAGCTAGGCAACTGCTATACTGCTTTACATTATGTACTTGAAGGTCTCTAGATTTTTGATCTCAGTTGGTGTTGTGTGTACATGCATCCTGAACCCAATTCCCGAGGACAGAGAGGGCCACCTGTGTGTGTTAAAGACCCAGCACCACATACATGGTCCCTTCCACCACAACACTGCAGGAAGACTCCTCCAGCTCTAAGAAGTGGGGCTTCCTCCCAAGCGCCAGGCATGGTTCTGAGCATGGGACGAATGTTGAGTCATGGAATCCTGAGGTGGGGCAGCTATTTTTAGCCCATTTTACAGGTGAGGAAACTAAGGCACTAGGAGATTTTTTTTTTCTTTTGGCAGTACTCGAGTTTGAACTCAGGGCCTCACACTTGCTAGCCAGGCATAATGCTTGAGCCACTCTGTCAGCTCTTTTTTGTGATTGGTATTTTCAAGATACAGTCTTAAGAACTATTTGCCCAGGGCTGCCTTTGAACCATGATCCTCTTGATTTCTGCCTCCTGAGTAGCCAGGATTACAAGTATGAGCCACTGGCACCCACCCATCCTTTAACTTTTAAAACACAATGTGCTCTCTGAATTTTTGCGTGTTGAACCCAGCCACAGCCTCTTCCTCCATGGCCCCCTGGCCGCTCCCAGGCAGACCATGATCCAAATCTGCTTCCTTCTGCCTCGAATGTATCCTAGCCTCCTCTGGTGTCTCCACCTGTGGCCTTCCCTTAGCACTCCCACTCACCACAGCCTGCCCCTGTCTTCCTCAATCCTGTGTCCTCCACTGGTCACACAAGAGATCCTTCAGGCCAGATGAACTTCCAAATCCTGGGTTTTTCAGATTTCAGAGGTGGAAGGCGGGTCTACAGACTGTCACTTAATCCCCCAGGGGGCCTGGGGGAGCACCCGCACCAAGCCAGCCACTTTTCTGCAGGCCACCATGGCACACCTGAGGGGTCCACCCGGGCCACAGGCAGCCTCATGAGCAGCAAGCAAGTCTGCACTAAGCCTGGGAAGAGTGCTCAGCTTCCAGAGATGTTTGGGTTCCAGAACTAGGTACAAGGGCCACAGAGCCAGATGGAGCCCAGTGCCTTCCTTGGCCAGGTTGAGCTGACCTGCCCACCTTTCCAGTCTCATTGGAAAAGCCCCACTTTGGAACCCATGCAGGCCATGGAGCACAACTCAAGCCTCCCCTCCAACCCACAGGCCTCAGAACGTCTCTCGTGGCTCCTACTGCTCTCGCCCTGGCTTCCTGGCCACTTCTGTCCTCCCTGCCCCTCTCCTCCAGCACCAGCACCACACGCCTGCCCTCGCCTCCTCCGCCTAGCATGCCCTCTGCCTCTGTCGGCTTGTCCTCTCCTCTCAGTCTGCAAGAACCCTGCTGACTGTGGAGTTGTAACACATCTGACCCCTCGTCCAGGAGAGAGGCCTTCATGACAGGCCATGACGTCTGGCACCAAGAAGCTCTGAGTGACTGTGAACAGTCTCGGTGTTCTGTCCTCCAACCCTGCACTGCTTATGTGCTGTCCCGAGTCTGCAGTTCCCTTTACCTCCAAACAAAGCAAATGCCATAGACCCTTCTGTGACCTTCCCAAGCAAGTCCCCACTCCATCTGCATGCCCCAGCCCCAGCCCCTCTCTCAGAAGCTGCTGACTCTGTGTCGAGACCACCTGAGCTCAGCTGGCAGCCTCTGGGGAGGAGGGGCAGGCGTGGACCTGAGTGTGGGCGCAGAGGGTCCTCACCTCCGGGAAGGCAGCCGTCGCCGCACGCGGTGACAGTCTAGCACCCACTCTTTGCGCACAATGCGGCCTCCGAGGCCCAGGACCTGGCTGTACTTGGGGGTGTTGGCGAAGGCACAGCTGGGGTGGGCAGAACAGAGGCCTGTCAGTTAGTTGTGATCTGAGGGGCAAAGGGGAAAGAGAGAGGGGTGACAGAGAGAAAGACCAAGAGTAAGAGAGACATGAGAGAAACAAACCAGAGGGGAACCAAGGAAGAGAGGCAGACATCAGAGAGAAAAAGACACAGACACCAAGGAGGCAGTCAGAGAAACAGAGAGAGAAAGAGAGAGAGAAAAGAGAGGCAGGCAGCAAACAGCTGACACAGGGCAAGTGAGGAGCCAGAGGGAGGTAGAGCAGGGCTGGGGAGGGCACAGGCCTACATGAGGTGGGTGCTGTCCGAGGTCCAGTCTGGCCGATACTTGGCCCCCAGCTCCAGGGCCTTGTCTCGGAGCTCGGAGCGGAATGGGTTCTGGAAGCCACTCAACACCACCACCACACCCTGAAGGATCTTCCCCAGTTCCTGCGCACCAGCTCGGGTGCCCTTGGGCTTGGCGCCTTCTCCCTGGGGCTTCGCTGACATTGTGCCCTGTGCTGGGGTGGATACTGGGGCTGCAGCTGGGGCACGGTTTGGGGCTGGCACTGCAGAGCCGAAGGACAGAGATTCAGTTAGCACCACTGGACTATGACCGGCCCTCCTCCCTCAGACCCAGTGGCCTAGGCCCCAACCTCAACTCCCTCAGACCCTGGGGTCCAGGTCCAGTCCTCCTCCCTCAAACCCAGAGATCCAGGCCCTAGCCTTCTCCCTCAGACCGAGGGGTCCAGGCCCCAACCTCCTTCCTCAGACCCAGGAAAGCCCAGCCACCTCCCTCAGACCAAGGGGTCCAGGTCCCAGCCCTCCTCCCTCAGACCTAAAGGTCCAGGGCCCAGCCCTCTTCTCTAGGACATTGGAGCCCAGGCACCTATGGAAACAAGGTACTGAGTATGCTCACCTTTGGGTTTCTTGAGGGCAGGTGGTGAGAGCTGGGTTGATGGTTTGCTGGGGGTCTTCTTTTCTTCCACATTCAAATCCAACTTCCTCTTTCCCTTCGGAGACTCTTGAGGCTGAGGAAGAGGAGCGAGTCTGAAGCTCCCAGCTACTCTCTCTCCTCCTCCACTCCACTAAGGTGTGATGATCTCACCTTGGAGGTGCTGCCTGCAGCCTTGGACACTGGCGAGGCTGAGGAGACTGCACTGGAGGCCTGGAGCGTAGCTGCTGCATAGCTGGGTCCTGCCGGGTCACTGGCTGTGGCTATAGAGGGAGAAATGGATCCAGGATAAAGGGCAGGGCGCTTCAGCTCCTCTCTAGGGAACACACAGTGTGATTCCCCACACATGGTAGTGATCTAGAAGTGCAGATCCCAGCCCTCCTTCCTCAGCCCCAGGAGTCTAGGCCCAAACCCTCCTCCCTCAGACCCAGGGTTCTAGGCCCCAGCTCTCCTCCCTCAGCCACAGGGGTCCAGACCCCAGCCTCCTCCCTCAGACCCAGATCTCCAGTTCCCAGGCCTCTTCCCTCGGACCCAGGGTGCAGGCCCAGTCTCCACTCATTGAATACCCAGGTTATCTACACTCACCTGGAGACATCTTGTTGATCCGGTTGAAAAAGAGAGCCCCCGGTCTCAGGGAGTTTGCACTCTCGTCCTCCTCCTTTACCCGGAATTGGCCAAGCTTGGTCACTGTCACCTTCTAAGGTCCCATAAGGTCAGTGTGGTGGGAGGGCTGCTGGCAGGTGGGGTGTACTAGTGGGAGAAATCTCTGGGAGATGGTAGGTGGAGCTTACCTGGGATGGGGCCTCTGCTTCTTCTTTGTCTGGGCGGCTGTGAAGCCGTACAAAACTCAGGCCATAGGGGGAGTCCTGGTAAAGCAGGCCGGGCAGGCAGCGTATTGGTCCAGTGCAGAGCCTGGCCCCTGGACTCCTTCTCTTAGGGCTGCCTCTTTCTGACTCTTTCCCTCTCAGGGACACAGGTCTAAGCAGGTGGCCTGATGACGATGATGTTGATGACAATACTGAAGTTTACTGGGCCATGAATCTGGCTCAGGCTGGGCCCTCTGCCTTACATGCATTTGAGCCCTCACTCAAATGGCAATCTGCTGGGTGTCCAAGAGAGTCCACTTCTGCATGGCCACCTTCCTGCCTCAATTCACTTCTGGAACACAGAACTACCCCAGGTTCTTTGCCCCTCTGGCATGCAGAGGCCAAAGGCAGGAGGAGCCTGGGTCCTTGGCCCTGATAATAGTAGTTAACATTACAGAACCTGACTTGACACCCCCCTTCCCTCCAGAGAACCAAGCTTCCCATCATGGGAGGATCCAAAGCTTTTCTAGGAACTCAGGGACCCAGCCTCCCCAGAATCCCTTGGGGACACCAGCTGTCCATTTCTCCAGCTCCTTGGGACTCAACATTGGTGCTCCAGTTCCTCTCACCAGGACCAAGGACTCTCCACCCGCTGCTCACACTCTAGGTACCTTGCTGTAGGGCTGGCTGCACACAATCTTCACCCGGTCCCAGCGCTTCTCTGCTGCTGCCCGGACCAACTTGTCAGGCCCAAAAATGCGAACGCGGTTGGGGTTTGTGCCACTGCGGCTCTCAGAAGGAGACATGAAAGATGAGGTGACCAGAAGGACCTGGGAAGGAGGTGGCACAGGGCTGTATGGTTCTGATGACAACTCCCAGCCGGTGGGCAAGAGGGCAGGAGCCCCAAGTAGGGGACAAGGAGTCACTATAATCCAGATGGAAGGCTGGAGGCATGGCTTACATGGTAGAGCACCTGCCTAGCAAGACAAGGCCCTGAGCTCAAAACCCAGTACCATCAAAAAATAAAGAAAATCTGCCAGGTGCCAGCAGCTTGTGCCTGTAATCCCAGCTACTCAGGAGGCAGAGATCAGGAGGATCTTGGTTCAAAGCCAGCCTTGGCTAATAGTTCGAGAGACCCTATTGAAAAAAAAAAATATATCACAAAAAAGGGCTGGTGGAGTGGCTCATGGTGAAGGCCCGAGTTCAAATACCAGTACTGCAAAAGTAAATAAATAAATAAATAAATAAAAAATAAATAAATAAAATTTAATTTAAAAAAACAGATCCATCTTGCGCCTCGATGTTTGTAGATTCATCCTTTGTTCCAGAGCCCCTGGTGGGTGTTGCGCTGACACAGAGCCTCAGAGGAGTAAATATGCGCGGATGCGTGTACACACACACACGTGTGCGCGGATGGGTGTACACACACGTGTGCGCGGATGGGTGTACACGTTTTTAACTGACACGGTGGGACATTCAATACAGTGTGTAATGACGAGATTAGGACAATTGGCCCCTCAAACATTTGTCATTTCTTTGCATGGGCGCACTCTAATCCTCTCTGCTAGCTATTTTGATTTCTTTCTTTTGGCAGTGCTGCCATTTGAACTCAGGGCCTCACACTTGCTAGATAAGTGCTCTACCATTTAAGACACTCTGCCAGTCTTTTTTTTTTTTTTTTTTGTATTGGGTATTTTTGAGATAGGTCTCATGAACTATTTGCCCGGGTCTGGCTTTGAATCGAGATCCTCCTGATCTCTGCCTCCTGAGTAGCTAGGATTATAGGCATGGGCCACTGGCACCTGGCTGGGATCAACTTTTTAGTTTCCACATATAAGTGAAAACATGTAGTATTTGTCTTTAACCTGACACAATGTCTTATAGTTCCATCTATCCATATTGCTGCAAAGATAGAATTTTATTATTTTTTTTTAATGGCTGAATAAGATTCCATTCTGTAATATACACATTTTCTTTATTCACTGATGGACACCTCAGTTGATGCCACATCTTGGCCACTGTGAATAGTGCTACAATAAACATGAGTAGACTGATGCTGGTGGCTCACACCTGTAATCTCAGCTACTACTGTAATCTCAGGAGGCTGAGATTACAGGTGTGAGCCAGTAATCAAAGCCAGCAAATAGGACTGGCAGAGTGGCTCAAGTGGTAAAACCACCTGCCTAGCAAGCATGAGGCCCTGAGTTCAAACCCCAATACTGCCAAAAAAACCAAAAAACTAAAAACCACGGGAATGTAGGTGTCTCTTTGACATGCTGACTTCACTTCCTGTGGATGTAATATCCAAGGGTGGGGTTGCTGGATCATGTGGAAACCTAGAGGCATCATTCCTGCTCCAAACTCTTGAGTGGAGTCTTCAACCATCAGACAATATGGTGGGCTACAAAGCCTAAGGAACTGAACTCTCCCAGTGAAACCATTCACAATGACATTCAAATACCTTCTGAACATGCGTGACTGAGTCAGCAGAAAGACAAGAGGACTACAGGAGCCCAGAAATGAGAGGGCAGGTTCCAGGTAGGCAAGGGAGCAGTGTCAATTATTAAGTGTGGGGTTTCTCCACTCAAACCCACCTCCTGGCTCAACTCTGCCACAGGCCTGCAAGGCTGACCACATTCTGCTTGCCAGCTGCGCTTTACAATGACTGTCAGTAGGGGGAGCTGTAGAGAGCAGGCATGTAGAGCTGTAGAGGAGGGAGACCCTGCTCCTCTGCTCATTTGCAGGTCCTGTGAGCATCACCGCAGGTCTGCTTCTTCTACTTCTGCACTAGCTCCTTCCCACCACCAGCTTCCTGACACCTGCAGAACCAGCCTCATCCAAACCCTCTCTCTTGGGGACAGATGTACATGAGGGGATGGGGAACAGATTTGAGTTTCAGCTCCCCAAGACCACATCTCCACACTTGTAACCATCAATTATTCAATTATTTCACCCTTTCTTTTGTTCCCCTACCCCGAGGGGTGGAAGCTGTCCCTGCCTTGCTTCTTCCTCAGACCTGTCTTGCCCTAGCACCAAGTCCTTACATTAAATTCTGTTACAATAACAGCCTCCAGGTGGGGGCAGGGCTGCCAGGCAGCTCTGATGTGGGTAGCCTGTTCTGGGGCTGAGCCTGGGTGGCCCAGAACTTGACTTTAAACGCCCCCTTGTGGTGGTGGAGGAAGGCAGGAGACAAAGCCTGGCTCCCAGCAGGGAAGATTGCATCCCAGAGAAGGGTGGAACAGCAGGTGGCTGGGTTCTCTCAGAAGGCAACACCCTCAGTAGGTACAGCAGGGACTTCTGCCTGTGGAAACAGGCAGTAGGAGGGCTGTTTGGGCTTCCACAGAGAAAATTCTAACCATGAGTACTCCTCTCAAGGATTTCACATAAAAATTCACACTAGCCATCTGCATGAAGAACCCACAGTGAGCATTTTAAGTGGCTCTCTGAGCCACTACACCCTGACCTAGGGCAACTCTTCCTTACTGACTGTCCTGCAAGGCAGGCTCTTAGAGGTGTTCTACAGCAGGGCAGGGCGGCACTAAGGAGGTTGAGAGGCAGGAGCATCTCAAGTTTTAGGCCAGCCTGGCTACATGGCAAGTACAGGGCCAGCAATGCGCTACGAAGCTAGACCCCGTCAGAAAGGAAGAGAGGAGGAAGGAAGAAAGGAAGGATTCACAGATATATTCACACACACACATGCGCAAACACACACACACACACACACCCTACGAGGACACAGCTGAGGACCTGAGTTCAGCAGAGATCACAAACTGCACACTTAGACTTGCAAAGTCTGCATATATTGATTTTTTGTTTGTTTGGTAGCACTGGGTTTGAATTCAGGGCCTCACACTTGTGAGGCAGGCGCTGTACCACTTGAGCCACTCCACTAGCCCTCTTTTGTGTTTGGTATTTTTGAGATAGGGGTTCACAAACTATTTGCCTGGGGCTGGCCTTGAACCTCAATCCTGATCTCTGCCTCCTAAGTAGCTAGGATTATAGGAGCGAGAAACTGGTGCCTGGCTAAGGCTACAAATATTGAAATTATAAAACACAGTATAAAAATAAGTATGTTTAACAGCTTAAAGGCTCAAATGGAGATATTGACAGTACGATGAAGAAACAAATGACAGTCAAAAGTGGAAAGTTTTGAAAGAGTGGGAGAAGAACTGTGTGCCCAACATACAGGAGCTGGTTCAAGCAACCCCGTCCTTCTGCCGGTGGTTGGCCGTGACCCAGTGCTGGTCAATCATATGAAAGAAGGAGGCACTCAGAGCTTCTAGGAGAGATTCTGTCCTTCCTTATTAAATAGACAGCCAGGCATGGTGAGGCATGCCTATTATCCCAGCACGTGGGAGGTGGAGGCAGGAGGATTGAGAGTTTGATGCCTAGGCTACACAGTGAGACCGAGAGAGAAAAAGAGAGAGAGAGAGATACCATGCCACCTCCTCTAACACTTCTTGCTTTGAATGCTGCTGAAGCAATAACCATCTACCAAGCACCCAATCTTTGTTGAGCTGCAAGACCAACTCTGGTTCTGCCCAATGCTAGCTGCCTCTCCTAAGGAAAGAACCACTTTGATTCCTTCTGCTGCAAGTGAACTTTGAGTTGAGTGTAACTTCTCATTTACTTACTCTTTTCTAACTGACATACTATGAAATTCCTAAAATTAAAAAAACAAAGCCTTTGGCTGAGAAAGAAATGTAGACTATAACTGTATGTTTCTTTGTGGCCAGCTCTGATTATGAAAAAGAAACCAGAGACAAAGAAAATTATATAGAAGGGAGACAGGTCCTGGGCCCTGGCTCTATCTCTTTATGAAAGGCTCAGCTGATGGGAAGGCTGAATTTAGCATCCAGTGACTAAAATGAGGAATTATGCAAAATGGCTGGCACCGTGCCACCACGAGGCAGCGTTCCCCTGAAACCCCTTGCATGAGAGAGAAAACCACTCTGGAATCACACTTCTCTCATCCACCACCTCCAAGCTTCTGAAATTAAATGTTTTATCTTTAGCCTATGCAAACCCCAAGTCTGTGAGCCTCCTCTGTATACTGTGCAGGGGAGTGAAAGAACTCTTCATGCTGCGCTGAAGATGGCACTAGCCATCACCAACATGAGGCTCATGCTTGATGTGTAAGGGACATTAACCCTGACCTCCCTCCTCAGCCCGTTTGCCTTACTTTCATGGTTCTTCTGGCTATATCTAGGTTCTGGGTAGAAACCAGGCATTATGCCCCAGAGCCTTCATTCAGAGGTGGCCAGAAGTTCCAACAGAAATCTGGCACTCAAGCAAAAATTTATAATTTTTTTTTTTTTTTTTAGCAGTACTGGGGTTTGAAGTTAGGGCCTTGCACTTACCAGGCAGGTGCTCTATAACTTGAGCCACTCTACCAGCCCTTTTTGTAAAGGGTTTTTTCGAGATAGGGTCTCAGGAACTATTTGCCCAGGCTGGCTTTGAACAGAGGCTCTCCTGACCTCAGACCTAGAATTATAGGTCTGAGCCACCAGCGCCCAGCCAGAAGTTTGAAATCTTGAAAGAAACTGGGCCTGGTGGTGACACGTGTGACCCCAGTTACTCAGGAAACAGAGGAAGAAGGATCTTGAATTCAAGGCCAGTCTGGCAAAGGGAGTGGGACTATATCTCAAAAACAAAATACAAAATAACAATAAATGGGGGCATGTCTCAAGTGGTACACATACACGCACACCATATATATATGCACATATATATAGTCAATTAATTTTCAGGAAGTCCCAGACTAGGAGAATGAGCTGTGCCTCACATATCTGAGAAAGAAGACATTGTTAACTCCTATGACAAAAAACAACCTACCAATAAACAAACAAACAAGACAATAGAGACAAACAACCTAATAAAAACTAAGCAGGAAGTTGGGTGTGGATGCCTATAGTGCATACCTATAATCCTAGCACTTGGAGATGGAGGCAGGAGGATGGAGCGTTTCAGACCAGCCCAGATGACACAGCAAGACCCTGTCTCAAAAAGATCAGGGTCTGGGGATGTACTTGTGCAGTGTGTGTAAGGCCCTGGGCTCCATTCCTAGCTCCAGATAGACAGAGAGAGAGAGAGAGAGAGAGAGAGAGAGAGAGAGAGAGAGGAGAGAGAGAGAGAAGAGAGAGAGAAAAGAGAAGCAGGAGACTTGAGTAGACACTTCATACTCTAAATGACTGGCTAACAAGTACATGAAGGCACACAATGTCTTCGACAGAAAATGTAAATTAAAGCCACTACTTGAGGACTGCAGTGCAGCTCAATGGTAGAACATGTGCTTAACATGTGCAAAGCCCTGGATTCAATCCCTAAGCATAAAAAACAAAACCAGCCGGGCACCAGTGGCTCACGCCTATAATCCTAGCTACTCAGGAGGCAGAGATCAGGAGGATCTCAGTTCGAAGCCAGTCTGGGCAAACAGTTTGAGAGATCCTGTCTCCAAGAAACCCATCACAAAAAAGGGCTGATGGAGTGACTCTAGGCGTAGGCCTTGAGTTCAAACTCCAGTACCACAAGAAAAAAAAAGTTGGAGGGGGAGGACACGGGGAACTTAAAGGGACACTGGAAGGGCTCTATGTGTTGACCTGAGGATGGAGGTACAGGTGTGTACACACACCAAATCTCTCACCTGGACAGTAAGATCCTTGCACTTTATTGCACACAGAGTCAACCTCAATTAAAAGCTACTTTTCACTGTAAGAAGAAAACACATCTTGTAGGAAACTGGTTTGTTCACTTAGACTTGTGAGTGCTCTTTGTCACAGCAGGTTTATTTTTACCCACCCAGAGTTTCACCAATAACCAGCTGGTTAAGTAGGAGCTCACATGTTCGATGTAATGAACTCAGCCAGTTCATGAGAGCTGGCCCACGCCTGAGGACCCAGCTTCTAGGAGGCTGAGGCTTAGGACCCCTTGTGCCTGGGAGTCAGGGCTGGCCTGGTAATACAGCAAGACCCATCTCAAAAAATTTTTAAAAAAATTTCAAAAGGGCTGTGCTGACTTTTTGATGATTCATAGGATAGTCACAGGCATTCTTTCTTGCCAAAATTTGTCACAACTATAATGGCTAACAGGCATCCCAAACACTGTAGAATCCCAATTTTCAGTATATCTAAGAGCACCTTGGGGACCTGAGAGAAGCAGCTTTGTCCTCAGGCAGTGCCTGATTCTGCGGCCAGTGATGCAGGTCACCTGGGATCTCCCCTGGAGGGCGGCTCATACCCTGCACCTGCTTTGTCTCTGCAAGAGGTGATCTTGCAGAGGGTAGCAATCGGTGTGACTCACTCCACCCCCACGTGACCTCCTGGAGGCCTTGGGGACAGCAGAGGGATGAGGCAGCACCCCTAGTCCAGTCCTACTTACCTCATAGTCTTGCTCGCTGGTCCCTCCAGCCGAACTGCCCACCAGCACTTCCACAAAGGCCGAGCCGTCGTTCCCAATGTCCACACTGTGTATCTGCTCCTCCTTCTCCAACTGCGGGTAGAGAAAGGCCACCGTCAGGTCCTAGTCTGCCAGGCCCTGGTCTGGGCTTGCTGCAGGACAGGGATAGAAAGAGGGATCACCCTGGAATGTCACTATATGTCCCTGGCATGCAATCCAGGGCGTGACGTGGAACAAGAGCACTGAGTGAATACACTGACTCCTACCCTGCACACACTGCTTCCCCAACTTTTCCAGACTCCTCTGCATCAGCTTATCCACACAGAGCTCTGCTTGGCGGCACCTGCTACGGGTGTAGCTTACTCAAAGTGTCACACAGGCAAAAGGCATTCAACTTCATGGAGGCTCCCCAGATGGACGGAGGACAAAGGTTGTGCCCAGTTTTGCTCGCGCCAATTGCTGGGATTGAACCACAGCTCTGCTGTACACTAACTGTAGGACCTTGCTGGCTAGTCTCTTGGAGCCTCAGTTTTCCCATCTATGATGGAGAGGGTCAGCATGTGGAGGATCATGGATATAAATAGCAAAGCCACAGAGCACAGCATACAGTAGGAGCTTAACTGCTGTCAGTTAGGAAGCATTCTTAGTCAATGTTGGATAACTATTTGTTGAAAGAACCAAAGAGCTAGCCAGGCATGGTGGCAAATACCTGTAATCCCAGCTGCTGGGGAGGCAGTAGAAGCACAAAAGCTCAAGACTGGCACGGACTAAGGAGGGGACCTTACCTGAGGAGTGAAAAAAAAGGGCTGGGATGTGTGGCTCAAGTGGCAGAGCGCAGTGCCTCACTCAAACCCCAGTACCACAAGGGAGGGAGGGAACTACCTGTAAGAATTCCCCTGAATGATCACCTGCCCTTCCAGAAAGGTGTGCAGGGCCCTGGGGTGCCGGGAAAGACTGAGGCACATCTGCTGTCCAGTCTGGGGCTCCTTTATCAGGATCCCAGAATGACAAGTTATTACAGCCCTCAAAGGTCCCCAGGTCACTGCCCTACAGTGCCCTCCCCAGGGGAGGCTCTCTGGCTCCCTTCTGCTCCCTTGCAGTCAGGAGGTCACCAAGACACCACCTGCCAATGCTACAGACAGGAACCTGGCTACATGGAGGGAAGGAGTGGGGGCTTGGAGTAGGAGGTCATATCACATCCAGCCCATCTGAGAGGCAGCTTCCTCAAGTGAGAACAGCAAGGGTCGTGATAACGGCTCTCCTTCAGAAGGGAGCTGAGACAACCAGAATAGCACACACCAACGTGGAATGACAACACAAGGATTGACTTCTCACAACAGCTCTGCAAGGCAGGTGTTATAACGACCTCCATCTCACACATGAGTAGTGCAGGCAGGAAGTGCAGCAAGGCCTGAGGGAGCCTGAGCTGTGCATCGAGGTGCTTCTGTGTGGAGGAAGAGGCAGCCAGTACAGGGCCAAACCCAGGCTGAGCCCTGCATGCCTCCTGCACGCCTGACCACACTTCACCAGTCACAACTCTGCCTCTTGTCCAAGAGACACTGGCTCCTGCCCACCTCAGGGCTTTTGCATCTGCTATTCCCCAATACCTGTCCCACTCTTTCCCATATCTCCTTACTTTTGGAACCTTCCATCCTTCAGGTCTCCACTCAGATGTCACCTTTTCTGACCGAACTCACCTCCTGTCAGGTGCTACTCTCTAGCCCTAAGCCTGCTTCTCCCTTAGCACCACTCGGGCTTTTTTTTTTTTTTTTAAGTAGTGCTGAGGATGGAACCCAGGGCCTTGCACATGGTAGGCAAGGACTATACCTGAGCTATGTCCCCAGCCCCCACTTAGTAGTCTATACTTCCACTTTTGTATTTGTCTAACATTTATCTACCCCATTAGATTTTTAAGCCCCATGGGAGCCAGGAGGATGTGTGAATTGCTCTTGACCAAGTACCAACGTCAAGAACAGGGTCTGGCCGGGCACAGGTGGCTCATGCCTGTAATCATAGCTACTCAGGAGGTAGAGGTCAGATGTCACGAAGATCGCAGTTCCAAGCTAGCTCAGGAAAATAGTTCAGGAGACCCTATCTCAAAAAAACCCATCACTAAAAATGGAGTGGCTCAAGTGATAGAATGCCTACCTAGCAAGACTAGCAAGTGTTGAGGCCCTGAGTTCAAGCCCCAGTACCACCAAAAAAAATTAAAATAAAATAAAAATTCAATCCCAACACCAAAACAAGTGAGAAGGAGAGAGAAAGGGAATGAAAATACCGACGTGTGCTGTAAGATGGATAAGCCTCCAAACACTCTGCTAAGTAAAAGACCACACATACATTCCTAGGAAACAGCGAACCTGCCGACAGAAAGTAGATCGCTGGCTGTAAAGGCAACCTGGGGGCGGAGAGGAAGTGGCTGCTTGACGATTCTGTGGTTCAGAGATGGTCATGTGTATAGAGGAGGTGGCTGCAGACCACCCACAGTAGACTGACAGCCACTGGACTGGACACCTGAAATGGGTACAGTGGTGAATTTGTGTTCTGTGAAGTTTACCTCAAGGAAAGAACTGAGTGCTCAGTAAAGGTGAGTGCTCAAGGTAAGGGGGCTGAGGCCCAGGGCCACTGTCACCTGTGGACCATGTTTGTCAGCACACACCTTGCTCAGGAAGACACGACACATGAGAGTTGTGAAATAAATGGGATACAGAAGGTTGTCAAAGTTCCTGAGGCATCTTGTGAAAACCCTTGTCTACGTCAATAAACATGTTACGTATCACTAAAAAGAATGAGGGGGTGCCAGGTGTGGTGGTACATGCCTGTAATCCCAGCACTAAGGAGGCTGAGGTAGGAGGATCACGAGTTGCAGGCCAGCCTGGACTACATATGGAGACCCTGTCTCAAAAAAAAATAAAGCAAGCAGAGTGCATATTTTTATTTTTATTCATTTTCATTTATTTATTTATTGTTTACTTATTTAGCAGTGCTAGGGATTGATCGCAGGGCATCACATGTTAGGCACGTTCTACCAGAACCAAATGTCTTTTTGTTTTTTATACTATGCTTTTTTATTTTCTTTGTGGTAGTAGAGTTTGAACTCAGGGCCTAATGCTTGCTAGGCTACAGTGTAGCACTTGAGCCACACCCTCAGCCCTGCACTACCCACTTTAAAAGGGTAGAGGAAGCAGATGTACAGATATATTTGTGTGTGCACAGAGTGAAGCAGGAAGTCACACAGTGAACTTCGGTTCTGGTTGCCTCAGGAGCCCAAAACTGGGTAGCAGAAGTCAGGGGAGAGAACAGGCAGAGACAGGAGGTGGAAAAGAGGGTTTTCTTTTCTTTCTTTCTTTCTCCTTCTTTCCTTCCTTCCACTCCCTCTCTCCCTTCTTTTTTTTTGTGCTACTGAGATTTGAACTCAGGGCCTATGCCTTGAGCCACTCCACCAGCCCTGTTTTGTGATGGGTTTTTTCAAGATAGGGTCTTGAGAACTATTTGCCCAGGCTGTCTTCCAACCTCTATTCTCCCGATCTCTGCCTCCTGAGTAGCTAGGATTACAGTCGTGAGTCACCAGCATCTGGCTCTTCTTTATTTTCCTTTCTTTTTTTCTTTTTCTTTTTTTTTTTTTTGAGTCACTATATAGCCCAGACTGCCCTCAAACTTCCTATCCTCCTGCCTCAGCCTCCCTGCTGCTAGGATTATAGGAATACACCATCATGCTCAGCTTAGAGGCTTTCTTTTTCAAAAAGAAAAGTTATTTAAAATCACAATGGTAAAAAAAGAAAAAAAAAAGAAAGAAAAAGAAAAAAGCACAAGCACACAAAGCACCCACAATGGTTATTTCCACACAAGGAAATACAACACAGGAAAGACAGAAGCAGGAAGGAAGCCTCTACAGCTACATGCAACAACACAGGTGAAAGCCACAAAGCCATGAATGCCGAGCGAGAGCAGCCAGACACAGAGCACAGACTGCATGCTTCTACTGACGTAAAACTCAAAGCCACGATAGAGTGAGTGTGCTGTTAAAAATCAGGGCAGTGTGCCTGGTGCAGTAGGAGGCTCAGGCAGGACTGCAAAGTCAAGGCCAGCCTGGGTTACACATCAAGACCCTATCTCAAAAAACCAATCCAGACAGGGGCTACCCTTGTGGTAGGGGGAGGTGTGATGGGAGAAGGAGGCAGTGGCAGGAAGGAGCAAGAAGGGACTTCGGGGCCAGGCAGGTGCTGCTCCTCTCCTGCACTGGCTGGGAGCACGTGGGCTCAGGTTTGAAGGGCCACTAGACTGAACCATTACTTGTGCATTCTGCTGTCTGTGTGACACACTTCAAAAACAGCCAGGCGCCAGTGTGGCTCATGCCTGTAATCCTCGCTTCTCAGGAAGTAGAGATCAGAAGCCAGCCCTGGGCAAATAGTTCAGAAGACCCTATCTCGAAAAAACCCTTCACAAAAAAAGGCTGGCAGAATGGCTCAAGGTGTAGGCTCCGAGTTCAAGCCCCAGTACTGCAAAAAAAAAAAAAAAAGTCAAAACAAATTTCAAATACCACCGTGGCCTTCTGAGGACCTAGAGAAGTACAAAAACATCCAAACAAGCCGTGTGCCACTGTGCTGTTGAACACTGCTTCTAAAGAAAGCACCTGTGGTGACGTGCAGGGCTCCATCTGGATCCGGCCAGTCCTCCCCTCCAGGCCAGGAGTGGTTGGCAAAGAGATTGAACTCCTTGCCTGGGAGCAGGTGACCAGCTGGCAACAGAGTCTCCTGTGGCCATTGAAAACAACAAAAGGTGTGTGGGGCCATCACGAGCAGAGGGCTAAGCCCATGTGGCAATACCCAGGGGTTGTGTAACTGTCTGGAGAACACAAAGGGCGGCAGGAAAGCCCACTGAGGAGCCTGCTGTCTCTGTCCAGAAATGTCACCCTTACCTGTCCTGCACAGGGCAGGTACAACTGGATTTTCCAAATGGTCTGTGGCATACAGTGAGTGAGTGCCCTGCTCACCCCGCCCCACCCCCCACACTTTATCCCCATCATGGAACCAGAAGGATCCTACCAGGGCTTCAATGGGATTCAGTCCCTCCTCTACTGCATCTCCACTGGCTCCCATTTCACCCAGGGGAAAGCTTAAGTCCTCACAATGGCTCTCCAGGCCTTGAGTGTTTGGGGGGCTTTCACCCTCACCCCATTTGCTCATCCCGGCTGACCCCAGCCCAGCACACTGGCCTTCTTGCTGTTTCTCCGGTGTGCCAGGAATGACCTGCTCTGACATCTGCCTCCTCCCTGGATGGATGCATAGCTCATTTTACTCAAATGTCACCTGCTGGGGAGGACTTCCCTGCCCTCACCCCACATTCTAATAAAAACATCTGCCACCACCCCTCCCCAGGCAGGCACTCCCATTCCCTTAAATGTGTTTTGTTTTGTGTTACTGGGGTTTGAACTCAGGGCCTCATACTTGTAAGGCAGGTGCTCTATCACTAGAGCCACTCCACCAGCTCTTTTTGCTCTGGTTATTTGGAGCACTTTTTGCCCAGGGCGGGCTGGATGAGCCTCCTATTTGTTTCCCATGGTAGCTGGGATGGCAGACTTGTGTTGCCATGACTAGCTTTTTCTGTTGAGACAGGGTCTTGCGAGCTTTTTTTACCCAGGTTGGCCTGGAACCTCAATCCTCCCTATCTTAGGCTACCATGTAGCTGGGATGACAGGCAACAGGCACACAATACTGTACCCAGCTATTGGTTGAGATGGGGTCTTGCGAACTAGTTGCCCAGGCTGGCTTTGAACCTCAGTTCTTCTGATCTATGCCTCCAGAGTGCTAGGATTACAGGCATGAACCACCAGCACCCAGTCCAGTCCTCTTCCTTGTTGAATTTCCTCCCAAGAGTTCATCATTGGCCATAGGTTCTATTTGCTGAGTTGTCTGTCACACTTTCCCTACTAGCATGAAAGCTCCAGGGGGCTGAATATTTTTGTCTTGTGCTGTCCTCTGCTCTTCAGGCCCCTAACCTAACACACTGTATAAGTCACTTAATGAATACTTGTGGAATGAATGAATGAATGAAATGAACAAATGAATCCATCCAGTCCTGAGTGTCCTGCCCTGCCTATGTGACGACAACCTCTACACCTGTCTCCAGCTCCACATCTGATCTCTGGATGCTCCCTCTTGGAAGTGCCAAAGTCACATCAAAGCTAGACATTCCAACCAGAAAACATCATCTGCTCAAGCTGCTCCCACTCTGGGTGACATCGTAACCCTGCAGTCTCTCCCAAGGCAGAGAATCCTGTGCCTTGTCCCCCTGACTCCCTCTCTCTCCACATCCTGTCTCTCTGCCTCCAGCCTCTCTGCTCCCACTGCAGCTGAGCTAACAGAACTGGAGGTTATTTCCTTGGGGTCAGTGGATCATGAGAGCCCAGCAGAGTCATCACCCCATGGTAAGTCATAAGCCCCTCCCTTTCTACAAACATCTACATGCTGACAGATCACTTCTGCAGACATCATGTCACCAAATTCTTACAACCACCCTGGGCTTGGATGTCATTATTCTCAATGGACAGGTTTAGAGAAATGAAAAAATTTTCCTGAGGTAATAGAGCGAGTATGAGGGAGAGCTAGGATTTGAATCCAGGTCCTGAAACTAAATTGTCAGTAACTTGGATCTGCCACAGTTTAAAAGACTGGCTTTCAGTTAGTTGAAAGACTAACTTCTCTGGGCCTCAATTTCTTCATCTGTAAACTGGGGATAGTAACCTAAGTCATGAGGTTTTTATGGGGATTCAATGGAGTAAACCATGTGAGACATGTAGAATGGTGACTGGCATGTTGTCACATTGAATAACGTTAGCTCTCATTATTATCTAACGTCAGGGACTTAGGAGACACTTAAACATCTGAAACCACTCAGTAAATTTTGTGGGTCTGTGTACTGAAGAGAATCCTCTCATTCTCATTAGGTTCTGTGACCCAGAACTTTTCAGAACCACTAAGCAAAAGAGAGCCCGAGAACACGTTCAGCATCCAACACCATCGTGTGTGCCTTGACTCCATCAACATCCCCTCCACAAACTGTGGACTGTGGCCAATTCCAAGAAATCCAGCCAGTGGGGTTGAGGATGAAGCTCAGTGGTTCAAGCCCATGTGTGAACACACAGCACTACGACAAAATGGTGAAAAGGACCAATACTCAAGTCTTAGCATGTCATTTATTAGTGCTGACAATGGCCCTTACATCATACACATGGCGAAGGGCCAATACTTAAAACTCATTTAGCTCTCTTCTACCAGTTTGTTTGTTTGTTTTTTAAATCCCTGTCAGGTACAGCCTCCTTGGAATTCTAGAACCATCTCAGGTCAAAGCCCCCTCTCCTATTTGCCGTCCTCCAAATCCACAGGATCGTGTGTGGATTTGGTGAAAATATGTACAAGGCTCACAGCCTGAACCCAACCAGCAATCCAGAAATGACAGGCCACTCGTTTCCCCTCCCTACACTTCAGTTTCTGTTGTCAAAATCAAGTTGATTTGTAGACTGGGCATAGTGATGCATACCTGTGGTCCCAGCTACTTGGGAGGTGAAGGTAGGATGATCACGGCTGGAGGCCAACTGGACAAAGTTAGCACAAAACCCTATCTGAAAAAGAAACTAAAGGAAAAGGACTGGGGGCGTGGCTGAAGTGGTAAAGGCCCTGAGTGCAATCCTCATCCTCAGTGGTGGTGGTAGGGGGTTCATTTGCTTAGATGACCCCTTTCAGCCCTTAATCCCACTGACTTTAGGAGGGCAATGACTCATTCTGTTCCAACTGAGGAAACTGAGGCCCAGAAGGTAGAAGCAACCTATCTTGGCCCATGCACTGATTCCTGAGTTCCCTGGGCCTGGTCCTTGCGTCTCTGATCTCCTCTGCTGAGGGGCACAGGGATTACCTACCCATTTTCCAGGTAAGGAAGCTTAGGCCCAGAAGGGGAAAATGACTCAGCCTGGGATCCCGCAGCCCTAGTAAGGAGGTGAGGGAGCACGGGATCACCTGCAGGACCACGGAGATGGTCTTCTCGCCTGCCTTGGCTGCCCGCCATTTTCGGTAAGTGTCTGCTTTGAGAAGATTTTCTGCACAGTGGGTCTGCAGATAAGAGGGAAAGGAACGTTAGGGCAGGGATGAGAGCTAGGGCCCCAGCTCTCAGCTTTCTCCTCCGAGACTTCCCAAACCCTCTGGGATTCCCCAGATTGAAGTTCCCCTGTCAGTCCCCCACACCACTCCTCGAGATTCCCCAATATTTCCCCTGGAAGCTATGTATGGGCTCTCCTACTCCTTTTCTCTCCAGAAGTTCCACAGACGCCCCAAAGTTTCCCTATTCCACATATTTCCCAGAATTCACTTTTGGCCTCTAGAACTCCCCCGTGACCCTCCTTAGACTTCCACGAAGTTCCTCTCTGCACCTCTAAAGTTCTGACGGAACCCTCTTCACTAATTCCCTTCTTCTTCCAATCTCCCCCACGCCAGTGCCTCACCGAATCCTGGCTGCTGCAGGACACGACGTGGCGGAGACGGATCTCCGGCATGTCAACGTGGTGGGCTTCGCCTGGACTGAAGGATGAAGGGTCTGGGCTGGGGGGGGGGGCGGGGTGGGGTGCGTTCTGCGCGGGCTTAAGTGCGCAAGCGCGCGAGGCTCGGGCCTTTCAAACAGCGGCGCGCCGGCGCTTACGTCAATATTGCGCATGCTCATTCGCACCTCTCCAGAAGACAGCTCTGCGTTCCCTAGCAACGAGCTCTTCCTATGGTCCCGCCTCTCTCTGATCCGACCTCTCTCTAGCCTGGCTTCCTGATGACGTTCAGATCTTGCTTTCCGGACGCCTAGCAACAGGAGCGGCCTCAGGGATTGGTGCTTAGAAGAAACTCCCCATTCTCATTGGACAACGTAGTCACCAACCAAACTGAAGCCTAGAAACGCGGAGTAGTTTTCGCAGGAAGCCTGGGTCCTACTGCAACTTGATCTCCTCCACCTGTTGCTGCTGCTGCACGCTTCTCCCCTCTCCCTGCGCACACACGCGAAAAAACCAAAAATCTCAGCTCTCTTTCAGCTCTATGCCTGGGGGGGAGAGAGAGAGAGAGAGAGAAAGGGGAAAGGTCCTAAATAAAACACAACGCTTGAAAAAACACGCACACTCAGTCTAGCACGCTTCCTCAAGTGCCTCGATTTCCCAATATGTGACCTGAGGGTATTTGTCTCCTCCCTAGTCCGCCTGCGGCCGCTCACAAACACCCCTCTGTTCAGTGCCCTGGAGACCCAAGGGTGCAGCCCTGGGCGGGGTCGGAGCTGAAGTCAGCCTAAACACAGAAGAGCGAGTGTGAGCCAGGTACGGGGAAGGAGAAGGGATGGGAGACAAGGCGCCCGGCCCCCGCAGGACGAGCTTGGACATGCTGGGCACTCCCAGGTAGGACCCCACCCACGCTGGGAACCTCGTTGGGGAGCGAGAAGAGAGGGGATCCCAGTCTTTGCAACCGCTCTCCACCCACAGGGTATCAAATGACCCGACTCCACTCTTGGACGTAGAGGAAAGGAAAAAAATGGATGGTGGAAAGGTAAGAAAACAGGAGTGACCTTCTGGGTTCTGATGGAAGAGAGGGTTGGAGGTCCAGATTCCTGGGTTTATGCGGAGGGAGGGCTGGGCAGATGTTTGGGTTCCTTTGGATGCTGCTTCCGCCTCCCCAACCCCGAGGCTGCGGAGGACTGTCCTAGGTTCTGACCTCAGCTATTTCTCACTCCAGGGTGAAGGTGGGTCCAGACCCGCCCCTCCTCGGCTCCCTATAAGGGCAGAGGACCTGGGACGGTAGACTCACACACCATGAGGCCATCCACAAGACAGAGGACCTTCCTGCTGGCCTTCACGGTGCTCTGTACCCTCCTGGGTCTCGGTAAGTGACAAGGGACCTTGACTTCTTTCTGGGACTTTAGGGAGCATTCAGCAAAGTCCCTCAAGAGGGGACAGGGAAGGGATCGTGGGAATTCGGGTCCGTGAAGGAGGCAGAGGGTAAGGGGGGAAAAAGTCTTGGGACCCCAGAGGGTTTGGTGGGCTCTGAATCCTATGTCCCGTACGTAGGGTCTCAAAATAAGATAACTGAGTTTTAGGAAATCAGATGACAGCATGACTAAAATAGTTCCAATCTTTGAGTTGAGTGGCTCAAAAGGTAGAGCATCTGCCTAGCAAGCGTGAGGCCCTGAGTTCAAACCACCCCAGTACCGCCAAAAAAAGGGAGATCTTTAAAGAATAATTAATTTTTAACAAGAGGAAGAGAGATTTCCTTTCTTCTTGGACTCTCGGGTCTCCAGCCCCCTTTTCCCTCCAGACGCAGCAGTCCATGCCCCTCACGTTCCCCAGGACCTAGGTGTCTGTGCTCCTCGCTGAGGACCAAGGGGTCCATGCCCTCAGTCTCCCTGGTCCTAACTGTCCCTTCACCTTGACCTGGGACACAGACTCCGGCCTCAGTAGCCCCTGCTAAGCCCCTGCTCTCCACGAGACCTGTGCGGTAGCTGCCAGGAGGCCAGTTCCACACCCAAGAACCAGCTGGACCTGAAGTTTCACAAAAGCCCACGGAAACCTTTTGCCACGACCCCTCCCTGCCCCCGAGCTGGCTCCGAGGACCCTGGCGTCCAAAGTCCCCAGCCTTGTAATTAAAGTAAGCAGGCTCCACGGTGGAGTCGCTTCCCGCCCCTGGAAGCCACTTTCCTGGCTTCAGCATTGCTTCCTTCTCAGCCTCTGGACAGTTCCCTGGACAGTGGTCAATGCCCCACCCATGAAAAACCAGCGAGACGCCGGCCCCTCCTCTTTCAAGACTCAAAAGTCATCTTCCCTCCCCCCATCTGAACCCCAAAGTCGAAATCGCGGTCAGAAGACCCATGACACAGCCTCGCCCTCTACACTGCAGGGTGCCCTCTAAGCTGCGAAGTGTGTAAGGGCCCCGGGCACACGTGCAGCGGAAAACTGAAGAAGTGCGAAGCCGGCAAGGACGCATGCGTGGTCCTCGTGGGCGAGTCCAGCACAAGTAGGGGGCGTGGCTTCGGCGGGGGCGGGGGCAGGGGACCATTGCAGTTCTCAGGCGCGGGAAGAATATCAGAGAGGGGCAGGAGAGTAGGGAAGACTGTCGCGAGATGGAGGAAAGAGAATTGAATGGTGTCATCAGAGATTCTGAAAATGAGACTGTCCAAAAGAGAGGAAGATTGGGGGAGGGGGTGCGTACCGAAATAGTGGGAGGGAAAGAATCCAACAGGGAAAAGGTAGGATGGGGGTGGGGAGTTCGGAAGGAAGAGGCTGGGCTGGGCTGGGGGAATGTGATCAGGGAGGAGACCATTTCTGACAAGACGAGAAGAAGTGATGTTGGGGTTGGAAGAAAGAGAAGTGACCACCCAAGACAGGAGAGGAAAAGGAACCTCCAAATTCAGAGCAAATCCTCGTAAGGAGAAGAGGTAGATGGGGGAGGGGGAGGGGAAGGGAAGGCCGATGAGTGAAATGGAAGGAAGAGGGGGTGAGGACCTAAATGAAAGAGACTACCCTAAACAGGAGCTGGGGATTGCCCCCTTCCTCCGGGTAAAGAGCGGAAGCATTGGAATTGGGTTGGAAGACACCAATACATGGCTGGGGAGGGGGCGTGGAGACTGGAAGAGACCATCTTGGAGAAGACCTGGGGACAGCCAGGAGAGCATGGATGGGAGATCTGGGGAGGTGGGTATGAGTCTTTGGGGGACAGCATCCTGCGGTTTGATGAAAGAGACTATGGGAGGGGGGAGGAAAGTGGTGACGGCTGGAAGAGACCACTTCATACAGGCACGGAGTGTCCACAGGCGGCTTGGAAAAGACTCCAAGGAGAATGGTGGAGTGGGGTACAGTGGGTGAAAGGGATCACATCAGGCAGGCTCTTGGGAGCCACGGGGGACCACCAAAACCCAACTCGGGTTTGTCGCACCAAAGGACAAACCACCCCAGACAGCACACCAGGCAGGTTAGGGAGGATGGCTGCAAGGGACAGGAAGAGACCACTACCCAAGGGAGCGGCGGGGTTGAAGTAGTGTAAGGTTAGGGGAAATCCCCGAGGTGGTGGGACAGTGGTTTGGCAGTGCCACCTGTCCTCTGCTCCTGTCCCCACCCTGCAGAGGGCCGCAAGTCGGTGAACACCTTGAAGGCCTGCATGAAGTTTAGTGATTGCTACTCTGGCTTCGTATCCACCACCATGGGCCCCAACGACTACATGGTGTCCAACGCACAGTGCTGCCAGAGCGACGGCTGCAACCATGACTCGGTGCCCCGTAAGTGCCAGTGCACCCCCACTCCAGTGGCCCTGCCCCCAAGGACAAAGTGCTGGCCTTGTGACATCTGGCAAACGCCTTGCTGGTTCTGAGCCTCTGTTTTCTTACCTGTAAAAAGCAGTGTCCAAGCTGGACGTGGTGGTACATACCTGTAATCCCAGCACTTGGGAGGCCGAGGCAGGAGAATCTCTAGTTCAAGGCCAGCGTAGGCTACATAGCGAGTCCTGTCTCAAAACAAATAGCAGTGTCCACTAGCAACCCCTGTGTTCCCCAGGGTTTTGGAGGTTGGGGTAGGGGCTCAAACGTCCCTAGCTACCTTACGCTTCCTCTTGTCCTCAGCGCCCCAGAACAACCGCACTGAGAACGGCCTTATGTGTCCCTCCTGCATCGTGCCCTTCCAGGACTCCTGCCCAGGAACCCGGGCAACCCGCTGTGTTGGCCAAGAAACCCACTGTATCTACTTCGCTGGCAATGTGCAGGCTGGTGAGGGCACCTGATCTCTGAAAGAGGGAAGGGGAGGCTGTTGGGTTTCGGAGGAGGGGACTCCAGAGAATCGGGTGAGGAGGTGGGGGGGTATGGAACCCCTGGCTCATCCAATCTGAATCCTCTCCCCAGGTATTTTTAACACCAAGTTTGCCACACGAGGCTGTGCCACCCAGAGCGCCTGCTACACCAAGCCTGGAGCCGAAGTGCCCTCGGCCTCCTATCTCTACTTCCTCCGCCGTGCAGACTGCCTTCCAGCCCCCCAGCCCCCTGGCAGGGCCGAGTGAAGAACTGAGGCGGATGTGGCTTGTACCTCTCTGTCTCCAGCCTGCAGCTCCCATGTGCTTATAAATTAAACAAATAACCAAGCAAGCCTCAGTCATTAAGACATGATGCATCTGTGGGAGGTAGGACACATGAGGGTACGGGTCCCAATCCTCTTCTGTAATGCCCTCTTTTCTTTTTTTTTTGTGGTGTTGGGGCTTGAACTCAGGGCCTACACCTTAAGCCACTCCATCAGCCCTTTCTCGTGCTGTGTTTTTTTCAAGATAGGGTCGTGTGAACTATTTGCCCAGGCTGGCTTCAAATCACTGTCCTGATCTCTGCCTCCTGAGTAGCTGGGATTACAGGCGTGAGCCACCAGCGCCTGGCAATTGTGGATATTAATGGTCATAACCTCGTAGGGTTGTTGTAAGATGTGACAGGAAGGAAACTAACAGCATGCAGCACAATTTAAGAGAACAAGTAAATAGTCGTCATCATAATACCTGCCACTTAATGGCCGGCCATTAGTTGACAGGCGACATCCACTGGCACCAATTGGGTCACACTAGACAATGTTCCAGTAACAAACACTCCTTGGTGTTGGTGGCTGTGTGAGTCAACTAGTGCTGCAATGGAGCCCTGTAACAAGTCATCCCCAGACTCAAGCTTAGGACAACACACATCTTGTTTCCAAGGATTTGTGGGTGGCTGGGGTGACCCCACTTCTAGCTGCATGCTGGCTGGTTTGGAGTTTGCTTGGGAGGAGGAATTGTCTCCTTTGGAGGCTCCCGGGCAAATGTTCCTCATGGCGAGTCACAGAGGTACAAAAGTCAAGTGCATTTAAGGTCCCTCCCTCCCACCCCAGATGCTGGTGACTCATGCATGTGATCCTAGCTACTTAGGAGGCAGAGATCAGGAAGATCAAGGTTCGAAGCCAGCCCAGGCAAATAGTTCTATGAGATCCTATCTCAAAAAAGCCCATCACAAAAAAAGGGCTGGTGGAGTGGCTCAAGGCGAAGGCCCTGAGTTCAAACCTCAGTACTACCAAAACCTTTTTTTGTGGTAACTTTTGGTGGTACTGAGGTTTGAACTCAGGGTTTTGAGTTTGCTCGGTGGACACTGTACCACTTGAACCACATCCCAACCCTTTTTGGCTTTATTTATTTTTCAGATAGGGTCTCATGTTTTTTGCCCAGGCCAACCTTTAGACCGAGATCTTCCTACCTATGCCTCCTGTGTAGGTGGGATTACAGGCATGAGCCACCACCCCCTGCTTATTTGTTGAAATGACTATCACAGTAACCTTTTTTTCTGGGCTGGCCTCAAACCTCCATCCTCTTGATCTCCACCTTCCAAGTAGCTGGGATTACAGGTGTGAGCCACCACACCCAGCTTTAAGGACCTTTCTGAGGTTAGGACTGGTAACATTCCACTGAGTGAGAGTCATTTGGCCAAAGCCATTATCATGAGGCATGGGAGCAAACTTCCCCTCCATGGATGGAAGGGAGTGGATTTCTGCAAAGGAGCAGCCACTCACAAAAGCTCAATGGTTTCCTTCACGACACCAGTCACCAACTTGAACGTGGCCAGTTTCTGTGCCAAAGGAAAGGGGTGAGGAAAGTCCTGCCTGTGATTAAAAGCTGTGGCCCAGAAGTGGCTTAACACCTTCAACTCATGGGATAGAGCTTGTCACACAGCCTCACCCAACCAAACAGGCCAGGAAGTACAGTCCTGCCCTAGGGTCACACAGCTGAGAGGCCAGCAGGTTTCACAAACAGCACACGAGGTCACCATGGCATCCCAGGGGCTGGTTCTTTTTATCTTCAAGACAGCGCCACATGACAGGCACTTCTATTGCCATTCTTGCTCTAGGAGATGAACCTGAGACTCAGAAGAAGGGTGTCACATCGAAGGTCACACAGCTGAAAAGTGGCAGAGTTTGAGTTTAATCAAAAGCAGGTGTGGTGGTTCACACCTGTAATTCCAGCCCTTTGGAGACTTAGTAGGGGGAATCTCAGACTGGGCCGATTCAGGGCAATATACATGAGACCATATTCAAGAAATAACTAAAAAAAAGAAAAAAATGAAGGGCTGGTGGAGCAGCTCGAGTGGTAAAGCACCTGCCTAACAAGTGTGAAGCCCTGAATTCAAACCCCAGTACCACCAAGAAAAAAAAATAGTTTAATCACTGGGTCATGCTGACCACATCTCAGAGACAGAGGGAACAGGTCTGTGCCAATTACCTCTCACCATATAACCAACCACTCCAAAACTTAGCAGCCCGTCCCCTCTGTTTCCAAGGGTCAGCTGGCTGTAGACTGGGATGTCAAGGGTAACTGGGTTACATGTCCCTTCATCACCTGGCAGGTTAACCGGGGCATTCTGTGTGGCCGTGGCAGCCAGGTTCCCAAGGGCAGCAGGCACAAGTCTCAATGCACGAGTGATTTCAAACCTCTGCTGTGTGACGTTTGCGTGGTGGCCAAAGTTAGGATGTGAGGGGACAATTCAAGGACATGACCACAGACAGGCTGAATAAACTGGGGACATTAGGGGGTCATGCTGACAACAGAGCTAAGATGTTTGACCATCGAAAACCTGCAAGCTCTGAGTCACTGCCCCTGCCAGGGTGGCTACACTCAGCTACAGGATACTCCCCGGATCTGAACCCAGTAACTCTTTCTGGACAGATTCCCCACTGTCCCCTCCCTGAGCACCAAGACCCCAGTCCAAACCCCCAGCATCCTTCAGACATCCAAAGACACATAAGAAAATTTCTATTCATTTTTATTCATTTCTCCAAAACACACTTCAGGCAGATGGCACCTTCATGGTTCCCTGCTGCAGTGGTCGTTAAGTCCCTTCACCATTACACACGTGTGTGACATCTGCTACAGTAATGAGGACATGTCCTCCTGTCACCCAAATGTCGGCAACATCAAGATTCACCGTTTCCTGGAAGTCCTGCCTTGTGGGTCTTCCAGTCCTGACATGCCACACGGACACGCTGTGATCTGCTCCCAAGGCAGTTTTAGTATTTTTCGTTCAAATGCTCTTAGAGACAGAGGTCTCACTTACAACCTAATGCTGCCCAAAGCCTAATGTTCAATCCTATTAAAAGTCACAATTGAGGAAGCTGGTGTGGTGGTGCCCCCCTGTAATCCCTGATGGGTGGCGGAGGCAGGAGGATAATGAGTCCAAGGCCAGGCCAGGCAATATACCGAGACCCTATTTCAAAGCATCGAGGAAACAAAAAGAAAGGGAAAAAGAAGCCCTAATTGCAAAAGCAACCACCTCCCACCTGTAATGCCAGCCCTTGGGAGGCTGAGGCAGGAGCCTCACCGGAACTTAGGAGCTGAGAGCAGCATGGGTGAGCAAGACCCCATCTCAAAAAAAACACAACTGGACAAAACCGCCCTGCTTTCCGTGGTACCATTCCTGCTGCCACTGGGCACTGGGAATTTTCAGCAGCAAAGCGGAGAGCAGCAATGTCAGGCAGTGTCAGAGCCAGGTGTGGTAGCACCCACCTGTAATCCTGGCGCTTGGGGGAGGGGTTGTAGAGGCAGGAGGATTTCCAGTTCCAAGCGAGCCTGGGCTACAAGGTGAGGCCGTCTCATAAGAGAAAGAAAGAAAAAAAAGGACTGGCAGAAAAAGAGGGTACTTTGTGAGCCAAGGCATTGGGGTGACAGCTGCCTGGAGCTGAGCGTGTAGCATAGGCAAGAGGACTAAGGTTTGGGTTCCCAGTGTGCCTAGCTTCTCAGAGGGGGCTGTGGTACAGTGTGTGTGTTCACAACCATGTACATACATGTACACAGTGACCGGGAAGGGAGGTGGCATTTGCTGCGTGACTCACTCCGCCAAGGTCCCCCAGAGTCAGTAGGGCTGTCTCCCCTAGAGCTGTGCTAATACAATTTCCTGCGGTCCCCAAAATGTCCTAATGTCTGTATTCCCAACATTGTAGCCACTAACCACACCTGGCTACTGAGCACGTAAAAGGTGGCTAAAGCCACTGAGAAACTGAATTTTACACTTTATTTTTAATTAAAGGACACTCATCTCAGTCATTGAGAACCTATCAGATACAACTGGGGCAGCTTGGGTGTGTGTCCACTTCTCCAACTATGAATTTCACGACCTCTACAGAGGCCAAGTGTTTCCAATGAAAATTTACCCTAAGAATTAGATGCGCTATAGTGTGGTATAAAGTACACACAACATTTAAAAGACTTAAAAGTGTAAAGCATCTCATGAGTACCATTAATTACAAGGGGGCTTGATGGAGCACGCCTGTAATCCCAGCACTCCGGGAAGTGGAGGCAGGAGGGTGGTGAGTTCCAGGTCAGTCTGGGCTACAGAGTAAGACCCCATCTCAAAAAATAAGTACTGATTACATGTTGAAATGATAATATATTGGGGATACTGGGTTAAGTAAAACATATTAAAGTTTGTTTTACCTGTTTCCTTTCACTTTTTTTTGTTGGTAGTTCTAGGGTTTGAACTCTCAAAGCTTCATGCTTGCGAGGCAGGTGCTCTATCACCTGAACCACACCCCCAGCCCTTTTCTTTTTTAAATTTTACTTTACCGTTTTTGCATTTACTGATATGTGTATACATTATTTGGGCCACCTCTCCCCCTTTTTAAGGGTCTTCCATTTTTGCACAGGGCTGGCCTCAGACTATGATGCTCCTACTTACAATTTGTATAGCTGAGAGCACAGGCATGCTCAACTGTGCCTGGCTTATTGATTGAGATGGGGTCTTGCCTTGAACCTCAATCCTCTCAATTTCTACCTCCTGAGTAGCTGGGATTACAGCTGTGAGCGACAGCACCCAGCCATCCTTTCTTTCTTTTACCATGGCAAATAGAGCATGTAAGATGACTGCACACTGTTTCTACTGGTAGCATGGCTCCTACCTTTCTCATCTTTCCTAAGGCTGGCATGTTTGATTGAGGGGCTCCAAGCTAGACGAGGAGGTGGAAACTGAGTGGCATCCCAAGAGTTGAGGATACGGGGAACCCCACCCCTCCAAGGCTGAGTGGACCATGTGTGCAGCGCCTGGAGCTCAATGGCACAAGCTGCTGCAGATGCGGGCACCGTCCCCCACTACCTGTTCCTTAGTGGTGACCCTTGTCTTTAGCTGTCGAGGGTCACTCCATCTTGGCATTTAGGGTTATGGTCTGAGCCTTTCATTTTTCAGCTAGGAAAATAAGGCACTGGGCCAGTTGACAGAGGAATAGTGGCAAGCCTGTGCTTGCTTCCCAGGTCTCCAGACTTTAGACTGGGTGTTTTCTCCAGTTAAATGCTTGCTTCTCCCTGACTTGTTCCTTTCCGTGGCAAGAGGCCCATCTTTATAAATTAGTCCTCCTCCTGCCACTGATTGACAGAGTAAGCACCTACTGTGTGTCAGGCACTGTTTCAGGTGCTGGGGGGCCCCAGAGAATAAGACAGACAATGGGGTGATGGCAAATAAACAGGCAAATAAATAAATAAATAAGGTCTTTTGCTAGTAATATTTGGGACAAGGAAAAATCAAGTGGGCAGATCAGTAACGTTGGGTGTGTGGATTCCTCCAGCTAGGGTGATCGGGGAAGGCCTCTCTGAAGGGTCAATTCAGTGGAGCCCTGACAGACAAGGAGTCAATCACAGAAGGACATGGAGGCAAGAGCACTCCAGCCAAGAACAGCCAGTACAAGAGTCCTGAGGCAGGACTCAAAGTGGCAGAAAGATCTCAGCAGCAGAAAGATCTAGCCAGCTGGCTGGGGTTGGCATGGACAGGGATTGAGAAGAGGCAGGGGCCAGCACACACAGGGCCTTGCTGTGTGCTGTTGGGCCTTCAGCCTGCCCTGCCGGGATTGTTCTCCCCACCTTCAGTCTTCCTTTTGTGTCTGACACCAAAGAATTCCATAACCCCAGCCTTCCCCCTACACAGAGCTGGCAGCTCAGAACACAGTAGGTACTGTGGTTTCTGCCTCTGCCTCACTGCTGGCCCCTGGCTATCCTCAGAGCCCACCAGGCCCAGGCCTCTTATCCCTCCCCTCAATTTCTGTGGCACCACGGTCTCAACACCAAACCCCTGGAAAGCAAATATAAGACACTCCTCCACTCCCTAGAGACCCAGGAGTCTCCAGCCTCTCTCACCACCCAAGACTGGCAACTAAGGTTCACAGCCCTCTTGGGAACAAGGAATCTGGGACCCCAGCGACACCGCCGCAGTTAAGATTAGCTGCCCCTTGGGGGTCCCAAGAGGTTGCATGAGGGCCTTGGCCTTTTCCTCCAGGGAAACCTAGTCGTCCCCCCTCCCCCCAACACTGGAGTCCTGTTCCCAGCCAGGAATCAGACTTTTGACCTGTCTCCCCTGGAAGGCTGAACAGTCAGAGGCTCCAAGGGGAGATTGAGATGTACCCCCTTCCAGGCGTGAGGGCCCCCCAACTCCCTTCAGGACACGAGGGTCAGGATGGTACAGAGTAACCGGGAGCCCCTCAGGATCGAGAATCCAGGTTACATTAAGTCACACACCCTAAGCAGCAGTCAGAGCCGGCATGGCCCCCTAGTCCCAAGATTGATTCCAAGTGGCGGACACCCCCTCCCCCCAGTCTCGGAGACCAGACGTTCAAACCCCGTCCCCTCTAATCCGACGGGGACACTCTGGTGCCGGGGGACGCCAGGACGGCCTCAGCATCTGCCAGCATCTCATCCAGCGCCTGCAGCAGGACGCCGTGCGCCGCGCGGTACCCCAGCCCGCCTGTCGCGGCCGCGCCCCCCGCGGGCCACAGGAAAGAAAGAGCGCCGAGCGCCGCACCGCCCGCAGTGCCCTCGCCCGCCCAGGCGCCCAGCCGCGCTTCCACCTCGCGCGCGTCACTGGGCCCGGGAAGTGCGCACGCGCGGCCAGCTCCCCGGGCGCCAGGCCCAGCGCACACTCGCGGCGTGCGAGGGCCGCGGGTTCGAGTCCCAGCGCCCGCCGCCACTCGGCCAGCTGACCCCTGAGCAGCGCCACGTCGCACGCCCAGCCCAGCCCGGGTATTGGGGCAGCCGCCGCCGCCAGGCTGGCTAGCAATGCGGGCCTCCACGCTCCGGCCCGCAGCGCCGCCGCCTTCCTCCTCGCCGCGCCCGGGGACGCGGGCGGCAGCGCCAGCAGCAGCGCCCCCGCCTGCGCCGGGGACAGCGCGCGCTGCAGCCACGCGCACAACCCCGGGAGGCCCCCGGGCCGCAGCGGGAACACGGGCGGCGGAGCCTCCTCCAGCACCTCCCACGGCTCGTCCTCGGGGCTCAGAGCGCCCGCGCGCCCCGAGTCCCCGCCGCCCGATGTCTTAGCGCCGACCACCTGCGGCAGACGCTCGTCGCCTGCCTTCTGCGATCCGGCGCCGAGGTTCTTCTTTCCCTCTCTCGGCGCGTTCTCCAGTGCCCCCTCGCCTGCCTTCTCCACCTTTCCCTCTTCTTCCAGAGACTCCGGGGGGTCCTCACCCTGGCCATCCGTTCGCACGCAGACAAGCGGCGCATCTGGTGACACCAAGGCGTGCACCTGGGCCCAGTCCTTCTCAGCAGGGGCTCCCACGGTGACGAGGATAACGGCATCGTAGTGGGTCGGGTGAGGGGCAGAGGCGGGGGAAGTGCCCGTGGAGCCCAGAGGGACGGTCCAGAGCACCACATTGGGGCGCTCCGGAGCCGGGAATGGGGTGGGTCCCGTGGGCGCCGATGCAGGCTCCGCTCCCGGGTCGCTGGGATCCAAGCCGAGTAGCGCATTCAGCACAAGGTCCATGTTGGTGGTGCCGGCCACCGCCAGGTCCAGACGCGCGCTGCCCAGGCGCTCCAGGCCCGCGCGCACCCACGACAGCGCCGCCTCCAGGCCACCCGTCTCGAAGGCCTCGCGCACGGCCTCCAGTTCTGCTGGGCCCAGCACCTCGAAGCCATCCTGGGCCGGTGGCAGGAGTCTGCGGGGGGGACAGGGAGGGACGGATCAGAAACAGAGCGCTAATTGCGGGGGAGCTGTACAAGGACTACGCTATGGTGACAAGGTAATCAGAGCTTTCCGAATAATCTCGGAGGCCGGAGCTGGAAAGTGACCAAGCTGATGATAATAGGAACTAGTTGGGGCGGGCTACTAAGGGAAGGGAGGGGCTTAAGGCAGCGATGGGGCCTTGTCCCGCTGCAGGTGACTTGAGTTCAGGTTTCCAACAGCCAAAGATGGGACACTGCTAAAACTTCCCCCAGATAAAGTGACTTGGGAACAGGGCTTTTCGGAGGGTCTGCCCAGCGGGACAAATCTCACAGAGGATGGGGTTTACAGCAAGGACAGAATGTCAACTGTAGATGGGTGCAGTGGCTCACAACCGTAATCTCAGATACTCAAGAGGCAGACATCAGGAGGATCATGGTGAGAAGCCAGCCCAGGGCAAATTAGCGCGGGAGATCATTTGTCAAAAAAAAAAAAAAAAAAAAAGAAAAGAAAGAAAGAAAAAAGGGCTGGCAGAGTTGCTCAAGAGGTAGAGGACCTGCTTATTAAGCATGAGGCCCTGAGTTTGAACCCTCCGTGGAAAAAAAAAAAAGGTCAAACACTGTTCCACATTGTCCTTGTAGAGGTCTCCAAGGACAACCTTACCTGAGACTGGGAATTAGGTTAGCCCCTGAGGGGAGAAGTCTCATCCACTCCTTTTTATAAGGAGGGTGGCTAAGGCAACATGAGACAGGTGAAGTTACGGGAAAAAGAGCCGTGGACATAGACGAGAAGCTGCACCGATTTGAGCCTCATTTTGAAGACCATACAACGAGGCAGCTGGCACGTGGGGGGCAGGGGATGCAGGTGATAGCCAGAGCGCCAACACAAAAATAAGAGGCAATATGAAGCTCAATGAGGGCGTGGCTTTAGGGCAAGGGAGGTAGCTTGAGAACCAGGGAGACAATGGGAGGACAGAAGAGGGCTCCAGAGTTCGGAGTCCAATCCTGGTGGGGACAAACTGTTGTAGACAGATGAGGTCCCCCAACAATTTGCCTGCTGGCAGTATTTAAACAATAGGCCAGGGCCTCTCGTAGAAGTCTCACTAGGGAGGGGGACTGTGACCTCAGAGCGCTCGCAGGTGGCAGGACCTTCATTACAGGTTGGGGCTTCCACGTTGAACCTCGGCTGGGGCAGAGCTTAAAAGACAGAAAGGGTCAAACATTGGCTTAGGATGGAGCCTCCCCTGACCTCAAAATCAGTGCAGAAGGGCGGGGTCTGGACGAGGTGCAGGCCCTCCAAGAGCACTTTAGCCGGGTGGCTCTAGACGAAAGGGGGTCGGCATCCCCACCCACCTCTGCAGCGCCTCCGCCTGGCTCCGCAGCGCCCCCCGCAGGCGATCCAGCTCCTCGCAGTGGTCGCCGCCGCAATCGGCCGGCAGCACGAACAGAGTGGCGGCTCCTAACCCCGCGCCGTCCAACAGGGCCGCTGTCTGATCCCGGATCTGGGCGTCATTCTGGGAATCGCCAGGACGGAGCTTCCGCACAGCCAGCAGCGGGGTCCCTCGGGCCAGGGCGGCCCGCGCTGCCTCTCCCAGCGCCGGGACCAGGTGCTCCCCGTTCCCCTCTGGTCCCGGTAGCACCAGTACCAGCACGTTGGCCTCCGCCGCCCAGGGCCCCGGAGCTGCGGGTGGACAGCTCAGTTCGCCCAGGAAGAGGCCTGGGCCCGCAGCTCTCAGGCTGGGGACCCCGGAGTCCCGCCGTCCCTCGGGGATCTCTACCGTCTCCACATTGCTGTCGCACAGCGCTGCGATCAGCGAAGACTTTCCCGAGCCCGGAGGCCCCAGGAATAAGGCGGTCACGTCACCCCGCGGCGGAGGCATGGCTGGAAAGCAAGGGGTGGGGAAGACACGGGTCAGGACGCACCGAGCCCTCTGTTCTTCCCTAGCCGTCCACCCCGTCCCCGACTTCTACTCTCGGGTGTCACTCTCCGGGACCGAGAAATTCAACGCCTAGTGCTTATTCCCTGGGCACCCTGGCGCCTGTGCACCCTCTTTCTGGACGCAAGCGTTTCCCTTTTGCTTCAGAAACTCAGAAATCTGACAGTCAATCCCTGTAGCAATCAAACTCGGGGACGGCCCTCCCCTCCCCTCCCCCCTTCCAAATCACCAACCGATTAAAGAGCTGACACACCGGCGGGGTCGAAAAGGCCAGACCACCGGGATATAGAGTCGTCGGGACGCGTTCGATGGCTCTGATATGACGTCACCCCCCCCCAACTAGAAGGTGTGTCTTGGAGCGTGACAGAGGAGACACGACGACCTTCGCTGCGCTGAACAGCGGAGGCTAGCAAGCTCCCCCTGCTTCTGCAGCCTCGGGTTCTGGAACAATGAAGGAGCCAAGGCGCATGCGCAGTAAGCGCAGCTCTGTACTGCACGCGGGGCTAAAACGAAATCATAACGCGCCTCAGCGCAGAGAAGGACCCGGCCCATTTGTCTGAGGACCGGACTGCCGTGACTGTACTACTGCCGGACGAAAATCCGTGACCTCAGCTTCGAAAGTCTTCAGGCAAAAAGCCGCGGAGACCACAAGGCCTCCCAGACTCGGTGAGCCCTTCTCCACTCCCCACCGGTGGCGGCGCTGTGGCGAATGACTGATAGGCATAGCGAAAGGCAGCCCTCTGCTGTACGGAGTAAAGCAGAGTCCCGGACCACCTAGTGCCGGACGCGGCGGCTGGAAGCGCGCGTGGGAGGAGGCAGGGACTCTGGGTGCAACAAGAGTTACAGAATGTCAGAGGAAGCTGTCTCCCGGGAAGAGACGGACTAAAGGGTGGGTACCACTAACTGCCCAGAGACTGGGATCAGGGTCACGGCTGGGGGCGTGGCTCAAGTGATAGAGTGCCTGCCTTGCAGGCACGAGGCTCTGGGTTCAATATCCCATAAGGGATGTGGAAGAGGGAGAATCAAGGTTCCCACCTTCTTCGAGAGTTAGTTTGATGGAGGAGGTCTTAGATCACACAGGTGAGAAGGCACTGGGGAGCCCAATCTGGGAAGAAGGAAACTTCGCTAGTGAGAGCGCGATCAAAGGGTTTGTGGGCCATGGAAAGCTGGTGACGTACATGCTTTTCTCTTGATCAGAAGGGTCCCAGTCACCATGGAGGACTCGCACCCTGAAGACACCATGGAGCAGCAGGATTCGCCCAAGGAGAGGAGCCCGGGCAGCCCAGGAGGCAAGCTCTGTGAGTACCACAGGCTAGAGGACGGTGGGTACAGACTGGAGCTGCAGGGACCTCGAGCATCTCGGTGACCAGGGAGCTGCCAGGCCTTTCATGTTGGGAGGGGTTGGGGTGACTCAAAGGTGCTTGCCCTGCTCTGGTCACACAAGCAGAAAAGGGATACTGTTCAGAGGGACAGGGTGGCCTCCAGGCGAGGCTTGGCACTGTGACTCAAAATATCTCTACTGTGCAAAAACCCAGGAGGTTCGGGTCTGCCTCTGTCTACCCTTGATTTCTGCATGATGGGGACTCAGTTTCCCTATCTGTCAAAAGCTGCGGGCACTGACCACCTCGAAGTGCTGTGGCAGGCTTAGCTGCAGACAGGGGAAAGTGCTGTTAATGAGGGTACCTGGGTTGATTACGTAGCAGGTTCTGCTACTGAAAGCTTTTATATGCTAGCTGTGTTCGTTATCATATTGTGAATGGCTTTAACTTCTGGGATCGCATTCAGCTCCTCTATTAAAGGACCCTTTGTCATTGGAACTGTCACAAGAGCCATGGTGTCAGTGCCCTCCAGCTACAGACCAGCAGGAACACACCTGTCTTGAGCAAGTTGGGCTAATTGTGCACTGCACCACACACCACAGAGGGACTGTCAGGAAGTGTTAAGGACTTAAAGGATTTGGGCTCACGTGTGATTTTAGGAAGGTTTCAAAGAACCCTTTTGCTCAGGACGCAGGGACAAATCCGTGACTGGATTATCTTAATTTATCTAGAAAGAGGGGTAAGGCGAGGCTCAGGCCATCACAGACACGTGGCAGCCATCACTCATGTTAGCCAGGAAGGGGGAATGGTCAGTCATTTCTATGGCTTGAACAATCTTCATATTTTGTCTGTGTTCAGACATAATCGTGGCATAGTCTTGTCTTGATTCACCCAGATCACAGCATGGCCTTGTCTGTCACTGATGCTCTATGACATGGTTTATGTTCAAGAGATCACCAAGGTGCAGCTGTGAGTGTTAGGTCAGCGTCTGGGTGTCCTGCTGCTTTTCTGTGTCTCGGCAACATTAATTGTGATCACTGATCCGGGCACACTTAAAAATGAACTCATTGTCTTCCACTGATCTATGACGTAGCCACTCTTATGACCCCATTTTCCAGATGAGGAAACTTGTACCTGCCTAGGATAGAAGTGGGGTTCAATCCCAGGTAGTGCTGTATCACCACACTGCTCTGTAGGGTGGGCAGACTCTGGGTTCCAATCCTGACTTCATTTCCTAGCCTTGTAATTGTGGGTTACTTGCTTAACCTCTTTAGTCTCAGTCTCCCCATCCCTAAAATGGGTTCAATTAACAGTGGTCCTTTACTGGTGATGTCTGGCCCTAGTATAGAGCCCGACCCATAGAGCATCCATGGTAACTGTGGTGGTTCTGGGGCTCGGGAGAGGTCCCTGAGGCTCTTTCTGGCCCCTCCCGACCTCTCCCCACATCCCTCAGGCCACCTAGGGGCCCTGCAGTGCACCCGCTGCCTCATCACCTTCGCTGATTCCAAGTTCCAGGAGCGTCACATGAAGCGGGAGCACCCGGCGGACTTCGTGGCCAAGAAGCTGCAGGGCGCCCTCTTCATTTGCTTCACCTGCGCTCGTTCCTTCCCTTCCTCCAAGGCTCTGATCACCCACCAGCGCAGCCACAGTCCAGCCACCAGGGCCTCCCTGCCTGTTGCACCCACCCCCGTGCAGCCCACCTTCCCTTGTCCTGACTGTGGCAAGACCTTCGGGCAGGCTGCTTCTCTAAGGCGACACCGCCAGGTACACAAGGCCCAAGCCCCTCCTGGCCCCTTTGCCTGCACGGAGTGCGGTCAGGACTTTGCCCAGGAGGCAGGGCTGCACCAACACTACATCCGGCATGCTCGAGGGGAGCTCTGAGTGCAGCCCGAGCCCTCTCCACCATGACGTGGGCCCTGGGTTTCCTTTCTTCCCTGGGAAGACAAAGGCTCTCAATGAATAAGATCTAGGAGATTCTCAGAGTGTCAGTCTTCGGAGGACACAGGCCTTTAGGGAGATGGTGAGATCACATAATGTGGAGATCTTTTGTTTTCAAAGAAAATAAGCCAGAAAGAGAATGAAAAATGATTTTTCTCTCCCTCATTTCCAGTTAAATAACTGACTGCAGATCTTAATCACCTTTAATTTTTCCCAGATGGATGCCATAGGCTGTAGGAGCAAATTGGCCTGGATCTGTGCCTGTGGTGGGGAGGGGAGGGCAGGGAAATGTGGGGGTGCTGACCCATAATGCTACTGTGTGGGCAATTTGAGCCTTTGGGATGGGGCAGCAGTGTTGAGGAGTTGGACCCTCAGTCACAAGGCTGCAGTTTAGGTTCTTGTCTCCTCCACCCCCTGCTAGCCTCCCTGACTTACGGGGGTGCCATGCCATTGGATGGCACTAGCCCTCCCCAGATAATTTATGCGCTATTTAAGTAATTTTGTGTACCATTCTAGTCGTGGAATATTTTTATGCACACAGGGGAGATAGCATGAATAAGCTAACAGTATCTAAAACCAAAACATCCAGATGAAACGTGTAACTTGGGAGGCCTGGCTTTTGGGTGGGAATTGCCAGAGAACATGAGGACATGGGAAGGAGGGAGCATGGGGCAGAGCTGGCCTAGCCTTGTAGGATATGCAGTTTGGAATCAAACAGAGTTACCTTCTGTTTCATGTTTTATTTGGCCAACACTGGGAGAATCCCCATGGAGCTCCTATTTTCAGCTCTCGAAAGGCCCAACCCAGGGTGTGCTGGCATTGTCAGCACAGGGCACAAACTACATACAGGTGGGCCTGAGCCACGGGTGTTGCCCTGAGACTGGGGTTGAGTTCACCAGGCCCGTTTTACTCCCTTCATTTCCTGTCCTGGCCCTGGAGACCATGGCGTTGCCTGGCCTACAGTATTCACAGGCTGTTTGAATTGAGGCATCCAGGTGAGGCGGATGTGGTAGAGGATGAGAGCTTTCATTTTTCAGTTAGGCACGTGGTAGCTAAGACTACGTTGCCCAGACTCCCTTGCAGCTAGGTGTGGTCATGTGACTGAGTGTTGACTAAATTCCTGGGTAGAAAGAATCCTCAAGCCTGAGAAAGGGACATGCCTTTCCTCTCCCTAATGGGGATGTGGACATGGTGCCCAGCCATCCTGCACCACAAGGACAAGAGCAACAAGACAGCAGGAGCCTGGATCCCCAGTCAGCTTCACAGCATCCCGTTTCTGTGCTATCCCGTTTCTATGCCTTTCTGTAAGCCAAAAATCAACCTCCCATTTTGCTTAAGCCCCCATTGTATTGGGTCTCTGTCATATGCAGCAGAATTTGCAGCCTAAGGCAGGGATCTGCAAACTATGGCCACCTCCAGCCTGCTGCTTAGTTTTGCAAATAAAGTTTTATTGGAACATGCTTAGGCTCATGTATTTCTTGTTTAGGGCTGCTTTTCCATCAAACAGTAGATCTGAGTAGTTGCAACAGAGACCTCACGGACCACAAAGCCCGCTGGCCCTGGTCTAACTGAAGACTCCTGCTGGCCTCACCTCTCCTTAGGCCTACCCTGCGTCTGGAAGCTGGGATTCCCACCCAAGGAGTACCCCTCCACAGGTGTGCACTGATGTGCGTGTTGGGGCTGGACATCGCTAGCCTAGATCTTTGCTGGGTTACCAGTGGGGAAGCAGGTTTGCAGTCAGTCAGCCATCACTTTTTTTTCCCAAGACATCAACCTCACCAAAGCCAGACATTTCCTTTGGCAGCTGGGAAAAGCTCAGGACCTAATGTCACCTGCTCTCCCAAGACAGACAGTTGCTAAGTACAATTTGGGCTTCCTGTTCAGGTCTCCATTCTGCTGAGATGTCACAGGCTCTCAGGCAGGAGAGATAGATGAGGAGTAATTATTTTAATAGATATTTAAAGGGCCAGACTCAGCCATTAGAACAAGGAAGTAAAAACTGAAAAGCTTCCCATCTCCTTTTAGATGCTAAGTTACAGGGACAGGGTGACAAAAAGCCGCTACCTGCCTCTGCCTTTCTCTTTGAGATGCTATTAAGCGGCAAGGCTCCTTGAATAGGTAAAAGAAAAGGCTTGTCTGGCAGAAGGAAGTCCTAAAGCTCACCTGTAATCCCTGTGTTTTGGGTGGGTCTAGGTATCATTGCCATATTTTACAATAATAAACAGCACCCATCTTGGGCACTCAGCACCATAATTAGGGAAGTAACCTTTTTTTTTTTTGGTGGCACTGAGATTTGAACTCAGGGCCTCACACTTGCTAGGCTGGCGCTGTTACCGCTTGAGCCACTCTCCCAACCCCAGACCACTATCTAATGGTTAAGGATTGCTGCACTTCTAGCAACCTGGGTGCCCCCATCCCAGGAAAGTACAAGAGCACAGATACTAAGTCACCATTTTGATGCATGGATGACACGCGCAGGAATTTCAGGTGCTCGGAGTTCTTGAGCCTGCTCTGAGGATGAAAGCACAGGCGAGACTCCAACAGCAGAGGTCGGAAAGATTTTATTTGTAGAGAAGACAAAGACTGCATATTGGAGAATGCAGGGGGATCCGGAAACCGGAGAGCCCCTGGGTCAGGGTGGAGAGTGGGGTTTTATAGCCTATTTTTGCATTGCCTGATGGCGGAGATGCCTTTCAGATGCGAACAGGCGTTTCCTAGGGAGAAGTGTCTCCTTGATCTCCTGGGGTGTGTCCTTCAAATTTGAGTGGGAACAGGAAATGGTTCCCTTTCTCCACTCTCCACCATGTCTACTTTATCCTTGTTACAGTGTCCACCTTGTGAGACACCTTGAAATGCTCCTCACGTCTGTGGATCTCAAGGACTTGTGATTTTGCATGAAAACTGGGAAGTTGTGGGAGCCCCCTTATCTGTCCTCTGGTAACAAAGAATTGCAGGGATTAGTTCTTTTTTGGGGGGAGCAGTACTAGGGTTTGAACTCAGGACCTCATGCTTGCTAGGCAAGCGGTTCTACCACTTGAGCCAGTTTGGGGTGGGCTATTTTAGAGAGAAGGTCTCACAAACTATTTGTCCAAAGCTGGCTTCGGACTGCGATTACAGGCGTGAAGCACTGGAGCCTGGCAACCCTATTTATTTTTTAAAATAAATTTATTAGAATGTATTCGTTATGGGGGATTCGGAGTGACAATTCTGATGAGTGTTATTTGGCAACCCTCTGTGCTTTTATTTTCAAGATGAGCCTTTGCATTTTTGCTGAGGCTGGCCTGGTCCTCGACCATCTCCATCTCCAGAGTTTCTGAGATTACAGTGGTGAGCTACCATACCACGCCCCTTGCCATCGTCACTCTGCAGCACTTCGCAGCACCTGGGATCACACTTTTGTTGATGTGATTATCTGTGTCCTTCTGAGCTCCAAGGGCAAAAAGTGCCTTGTCTCAGACCCTCACTGCTTCTTCTGATGCCTAGTACAGTTCTTGGGATGGAGGCTCAGAAGCGCTCGCTGTGGCCATTATGTTCCTAGTGTTCTCAGCTGCAGGTCTGGCCTGAGTGATGCTGGTGCTTTCTGCAAACTACATTTCCCAGACTCCCTTGAGAGCTGACTTTCTCAGGCTCTGTGCCTGAGAGGTATGGACAGAATGGAAGGAGACTTGTCTGCTTCAGGTGGGAAGGAAAAAGGGGGCCAAGGAAATGAAGGTGATCAGTGATCATGGGGCCTGGGGTCCCCCACCTCTTAAAGTCTCTACTCTCAGGACAAGAGGCATTCTGCCCCTTGCACCTCGATCCCTGCACCAGCCAGCTACACGTGGCTCAACTCTATCGAGCCTGTTTGTACCCTAGGTGGGGAGTGGACTCATGCAAAGATTCTGTTACTTCACTTTCCTGAGTTTGCACTTTTAACCTGCCAACACCATGCAGCCAGCTCCCTGTATTCATGCCTCTCTGGGATGCCTAGCTCGGTGTCCACATTGTAACCGGGTGCCAAGGGACCCAAATGGCAGCAGACCAGCTCTCCTGTGTCCTGGAGTCTCGTGATCTTTAGTGGTATCCGCAGATGGATGGGTAACTCTCTCCAGGTGCTCAGAAATCCATCTTGTGGCAGAAGTGGGATAAGGGCATCTGTCCCCATTACCACAGTTACCCATGTGCCAAGGCATGACATGCTGAGAACCTCCACTCCCATGACAGTATTAAGAGGTGGGGGTCTCACTGGGTGCCAGTGGCTCATGACTGTAGTCCTAGCTCCTCAGGAGGCAGAGATCAGGAGGATTGAAGCAAATAGTTCTTAAGACCCTATCTCAAAAAAAGCCATCACCAAAAAAGGGGATGGAGTGGCTCATTTTGAAGAGCACCTGCCTAGCAAGCTCAAGGCCCTGAGTTCAAGCACCAGTGCCTCAAAAAAAGAGGTGGGGCCTCTGGGAGAGCATTTCCAGAGAACCATGAAACTGTAACCCAAAATAAATCTTACCTCCCTTCATTTCCTCAGTCTGATTAAAACAGAAGGTGATTAAGCCATCATTAGGACTCTGCCCTCAGGAATGGGATTAAGCACCCTCATGAAAGTGGGAACTAGCTATGCCTTTTGCCCTTCCATCTCTTCTCCCCTGAGAGGACACAGCAGGAAGGCGCCATCTTGTAAGCAAAGAGCAGTCCTCACCAACACTGCACCTGATGGCACCTTCATCTTGGATCTTCCAGTATCCAGAACTGCAATACATTTCTGTCCTTATAAAGTACCCAGCCCGAGGTAGTTTGTTATCACAGCACAAATGGACTAAGACACTACTCTCCTAGGAGCAGTGAATTTTTGCCTTGATGGTTCTGAGATTTTGTGATTCAGCAGTTGAAGTTATGGAAGTCCCATTTCAAAATGGATAAACGTCAAGTTGTACAGGGGCTGGTGAAGTGACTCAAGTCATAGAGTGCCTGCCTGGCAGGCGTTCGGTACTGAGCTCAAACCCCAGGACCATGAAAAAAATATTAATAAAAAAAAAGTCAAGTTGTACAACTCTGGGATGAGAAACATGGGGTGGGTTGGTTGCTTCTTTTTGAGACAGAGTCTCACAAAGTAAGCTCAGGCTAGCCTGTAACTCCCAATTCTCCTGCCTCTGCTTCCTGCGTGCTGGGATTATAGGCCTGAGCCACCATGCCAGGCAGAGAAGCATGGGTTTTGAAAGGCACTTTTGTCTAAGATCCTGACAAGTGTCAGAAATACAAATGCTCCTCTACTCCAAGCAGGCAGGACAAGGGGCACCCAGTGAGACGGTGGCAATGTGATGTCCTCATCCATAGGAGGCAGCCCCCACTCAGCTGTGGCACACTGATGCCCCTGGGATCCTGAGCTCAGCAGTGTGCATCTCACAACTTTCAACTGAAGCCAGGAACTTCCTTTTTTTTTTATGTGAAATTCCCATTTTTCAATGCTCATAATCAATGTGATCTTGAAGACCAGATACGCCTGCCAGTCAGGAACTGTGTGGGCCGCCACACTGCTACTCTCCATGTGTGGCTTTGGGTAAGAAGGTGTACCAGGTGTCTGCATTCAGCCTGAGCTCTGCTTGTTCCTGGCTATGTGACTTTCAGCAGGTAGGGCAACCTCTCTGTGCTCCTGTTATAGCAGCCGTAGGTGGGCATGAAAACTGCAACCTGTTGGTTTCTGGGCAACACAGACCACCCTGCCCACCCCCCCAACCAGTGCTCTCTGCCTCACCTTGCTTGGCACAGCTCCACCTCGGTGGTCCTTGCTCTGATGTCTGCTGGGTGACCTCTGACCAGGCTTCACACGCAGGCGCACTAGATCCTCCCACCCCTTCCTTCCAAAGCGCTGCGCACCTTACTTTACCTAAAGGCTTGCTGTCCTCCCCGCTGCGGCACAACCTCACCGAGCCATCGTGTTCTGCAGTGCTCCCGCTCCAGGGTCACTGCCTGCCACCTCACAGGCACTCAATAAATCACTGTGGACCAAATGAGTAAATAAGGGACAGTCCCTTCCTCATCAGGCCCTGAAGTGCTTCTTCCCGTGAAGCACTGTGCCCAGGGCGCGATGGCGGTGAGCGCTGACTTAATGACGCCATTAGGGTAATTCAGGTGTTCTTGAAGGTTCTTAATTGCCAAACTGCTATGAGCTGACACGTGTAAAGCGCCTCGGAGCGGGACTCGGCACACGGCAAATGCTAAGTGGTAGCTATCATTTTAATCAGGCTTCTATTTGCAAAGCAGCTTTGGCGCCAGGCTGCTGTGAATTTGTACTTCCCCTCAGAGTTTCGGCAAGGCTGGGATGACCGGCCCTGTCCCCTGACCTGACGCATCCTGCAGCACAGTCCACCTCACTCCATTCCAGTCCCTCCACCCCCCACACCCCAGGAGCGCTCCGGCCTCATCTACCCTGCTGGGTTTTCGCCCATATGCACACCTCCCTCCCCCTCCTTCTTTCAGGTCACGGTCACCTTCTCAGGGAGGACTGGGAGATACAGAACTGTCCTCCTCGTATCGCTGCCTTATTGTTGCTACAGCGTTTGTCACCACTGTTTACTGTGTCTCACTGGCAGACCCGCCCACCCCACGCCAGCTCCATGGGGATGAAGACGTTATTTTACTCAGTGGCATATTCCCAGCACCCACCACTCAGCAGGTACTCAAAACTGTTAAGTGAGGGGTGAGAGGGAGTTTGTACCAAGGAGATAGAGCACTTGTCTGGCATGCACGAAAGCCCAGCTCTGCAAAAAAAAAAAAAAAAAAAAAACAGAAACCACTATTTGTTAAATTAATGTGGGAGGCTGGGGAGGACCATGAGTGCAGCCTGGGCTATGGGGAGACCTATTTTGTACAAAAAAATGAGGTGGGGGTGGGACAGGTGTGGTGGCAAATGACTATAATCCAAACTATGCAAGAGGCAGAGGTAGAAGAATCACAGTCTGAAGCCAATCCAGGCAAATGCACGAGACCCTATTTGAAAAATTAAAGCAAAAAGGGCGGAGTGTGTGTGTAGAGTTCAAACCCAGCACAACCCCTTCCCCACCACCACCCAGATTTAATGAATCACAGTCTCTATCTCAGAGTTATTCTGAGAACCCGATGAGCTCAGGAAAAGAAAGTGCAGTGCTGTGAGTGTGGCAAGCTGGCAGCGGGAGTCATTCTGTTCTATTTTTGTGACTTCCTAGAGGCACCACTCCTGTTTCCACACAGATAATGCCCTTGGATGGGCATGGCACCCCAGGGAGCACCAGGAAGCCTGGCCCAAGGCTCATGGGGGTCTTCTTTGTGGAAGTGCTTGGGTGAGGTGGCAGAGAACACTGAGTCCCCCCACAAACAGTCCTCTGCTTTCTGGGGTGTGGCCACAGAACTGACTTCTCAACACAGGAATGGCAGTGGCAGCTTGTCCCACCCACAGGAGCCAGGACTGGCACCCAACCTGGACCTCAGGGGTGAGGACAGCCTTAGGGGTGCATGGACCCCACTCACCCACCCAGACTGTAATGAGAGCGAGTCTTGGAGTAAATGTGGACCCACGTGGACATGAGTCTTGGGAAATGTTAGTGATCTTTGTCAGCCACCCTGAGGTGCCTCCAGGGGGGACCCCAGGATAAAGGCCAGGAGCACCCTGTACAAAATGAGCGCCCCCAAATGCACGCTGGGCCAATACACACACAATCTGGTTTTTATTTTGGCCTTCACACACCTACTGCTAAGACTACACAGATAGGGTACCCCAGCCCCGCGACCACTCCAGTCTCCTTGGCCCCTCCTCCCACCCCTTCCCTTCTGCAGAGCTCCCTGGGGTGCTCTGCCTACACCTCGCCCCGGGCATGCAACATGAAGTGGCCGTGCAGCTCGCCCAGATTGTCGAAAGAATCCTCACACTCTGTACAGTGGTAGGTGCCCCCTTCCTCCTCATCCTCGTCCTCCTCCCGCCCCGCTGCTCGGCTGTCTCCAGCCCGAGGTGGCTCCCCCTCTTCCTCCCCCAGGGCCCGGCCTTCAGGGGCTGGGGCTTCCTGGGGGGCTGTAGCAGGGCAGCAGAGCCGGCAAGGTGGGGTACCTGGCGGGGCCTCCCCCAGCGGTGAGCGGCCACAGAGCTGGCAGGGCTGGGCTGGGGGGCCCGAGGGCTGGGCTGCCCGGGGGGCCCGGCGAGATGGGCCCCCACGGCCCCCCCCAAGGCGTTGCTTCACCTTGTAGCCCGGGTCATATTCAGGGTCATCAGTGGTTTCCTCCTCCTCCTCCTCCTCCTCCTCCTCTTCAGAGTCCGGCTCTGACAGAGTGTACTCAGAGTCGGAGGAATGTTCAGGGCCTGTTGAGGATACACAGGAGATTGTGCGATCAGAAGACAGAGGGCTCAGGCCAGCCATCCCCCCTCAGCCTCACTCAGACTTGCCAGAGTGGAGAGGGCGGCCTGGCACTAATGCCCTGCATCCAGCAGATGGATGTCTGGCTAGACCTGCACCTGGAACCAGGCACCAGGGGCTCACGCCTATAATCCTAGCTACTCAGCAAACAGAGATCAGGAGGTCAAGGTTCAAGCGAGCCCAGGCAAATAGTTTCTGAGACCCGAGCTCGAAAAAACCCATCATAAAAAAAGGCTGGTGGAGTGGCTGAAAGTGTAGGCCCTGAGTTCAAACCCCTGTTAAAAAAAAGAAGTGTAGCTGGAATGGGTGTGGGTTTAGTGATAATAGTATCTGCTGCTGTTTTATTTATTTATTTGTTATTACTATTTACATATTTATTTTTGAGACAGGGACTTGCTATTTTCCCTGGCTGGCCTTGAACACACGCTCCTTCTGCTTCAGTGTCCCCCGTGCTGGGAGGACAGGTGAGCGCCACTGCACCTGGCCATCCACTGCTATTTTAAAAGCCCATTCCTGTCCATTCTTTTAATCGAGCTGCTGCTCAGAATCTGAGATGGGCCTGCCTGGCTCATCATATTTGATATCAAAATTTCAAATCTCTTTGAAAGACAGCCAACAAATTAATCAGGACCAGGAACCTTCGGACAGTGGCTATGCAGGGAAGAACTGAAAAGTTGGTCAGAAGTAGGTTCTGCCCAGACCAGCCACTACTCAAAGCAATGTTTATGAAACCTTTTAGAAAACAGGACTTCTGATCCTTGATCTTCCCAATCTCAGCCACCCAAGTAGCTCCCCAGCAAAAGGCTCCCCCTCCCCTGCCCCACACACAATTTGTTACAGGTCCTATCTTAGTAGTACAAAATCTAAAAAGACAAGCACCCAGTAGTTTATATCTTCCCTTCATTCCCAGTGACTTTACCTCCTTTTACTAAAACCCAACAATGAAATAATGTATCTGTCTAAGAAAGAGGTAAGCAAAATCCAGTATATGCAGGGCTTACTAACAGAAGCTTACTGTGTAGTATCCTTCTTGGTCCCATCAATTTAAAGATTCTTACAACAGCTGTCATGCTCTTTTAAATAGTTAATCACAGGGTAGCCCACAGATAGAGCATCACTTAACCACTCCCACAAAGATCATTTCTTTTTTTCACTTTTAAAGAACCACATTAGGGCCAGATGTACCTGCCTAGCAAGTGCAAGGCCCTGAGTTCAAACCCCAGTACCACCAAATAAATAAATAAAACCAACCAAACAACAACAACAAAAATAATGTAGCTGGGCACAGTGGCTTGAACCTGTACTTCTAGCTACCTGGAAGGTGGGTATTGGAGGATCATGATTCAAGGCCAGCTGGGAGAAGAATAAAAGGTTACAAGACCCCATTTCAATCAATGGCTGGGAGTAGTGGTGTGTGCCTATCATCCCAGCTGCTTATGTGAAGGACAAATGTGAGGAGTGTGGTCCGGGCCAGCCAGGCATAAAACAAGACCTTGTCTCAAAAATAACCAACATGAAAAGGGCTGGCAGAATGGCTCAAGTGGCAAAATGTCTGCCTAGCAAGCACCAGGTCCTGAGTTCAAATCCCAGTAACATCAAAACAAAAGTTTTCTCCTTTAAAAAATAAATAAAATAAAACCCGTTTGTGTATAGTAACTCACTTAAATCCTTTTCTCAGTCCTTGGAGAGAGGTGCTATTCTTACCCCCGCCTAACAAGTGTGGACACTGAGGCACTAAGCAGTTAGACTACTCGCTCTCTGGGGGTCACATGGCTGTGACATGGAGAGTTAAACATGGCAGAGGCTGACTCAGCATCACTTCAGGGAGACAAGCATGTGAACAAGTAATTAAACAAATCAAAACATACATATGTACTGTGATATAGCGATCAGATCTATACAGTAAGGCGAATGAAGACATTTATTTGGGGCTGAGGCTCTGTGGTGGAGCAAGCACTTGACTAGCACACATCCTGGTTCCTTCCCCCGCACTGCCAAGAAAACACTGCTACTGTGACCTCACGGGTATGAGAACTTATAGACAAATCAAGGTTTTAAAAAGGGTGGTAGTTGCCAGGCACTGGTGGCTTACGCCTTTAATTCTAGTTACTCGGGAGACAGAGAGCAGGAGGACCGTGGTTCAAATCCAGACCCAGGCAAGTAGTTCGAGAGACCCTAACTCAAAAATATTCAACTGAAAAAGGGCTGGCGGATTGGCTCAAGTGGTAAAGCACCTTGCCTAGCAGGTGTGAGACCTTAAGTTCAAGCTCCAGCACTGCCCCGCCCCCCCAAAAAAGGGGTGGTGAGCTACAGGTATAGCTCAAGTGCCAAGAAAAGGCAAGACCCTGAGTTGAAACCCCAATATCACCTAATTAGTTAATTAACTAATTAAAATAAAAGGAAGGGGAATGTAAAGTGGCTACACAGGGAAGGGCGATGAAGGAGCTGGCTGGAGGCCACACACAGAGCAATGGTAGTGGAGTGAGAGCCCCCACACAGGGTGGGAAGTACGGGCTTGCTCAGCCTGGCGGGCAGGACCCCAGCAGCCTTGTTCCATATCCACTTTGGCCCCTGCCTTTGTCTCCTCCCGCAGCCCAGAGGGAGCCAGCTGCCTTCACTCACATTGCCACAGTGGCTGCAAATGCTCCAAGAGTCTCTGCCGTCATCTCCTGCTCTCACCAATCAAAATGGGCTCCTCCCTCTCCCTCAATACCCCACCAAGCTCAAGCCGTCCTTCCCTCCCATGGTTCTGCTCAAGTGCTCCCTTCACAGTGACACACCGAGACTGTGATACCTGTGTCCCCGGCACTCCCCATGCTCCTTACTCTGTTTTCCTGTCACATTCTGTGCCACTGTTCACAACGGGGTGGGTGTGTTTACTCATGTCTCCAAGGACAAGGACTCTGGCTCACTGTGGTGGCCCTCGCATCTAGAACATGCTTTGTGCCTACATATCTGTCAATGGATAACTTTGTGTTCCATTTGTCAGCCTGCTTCTGAGGCCACACGCTGCTCCCCTGCCATGCGTGTCCTGCCCTGCTTTCCCCATTAGGACTCAGGATGAAGCTCCTTCTTTGATAAGGTGTGCTAGAGGCCCTCACCCCACATAGCCAGTCACCTCTCCACTGACCTCCCGCTGTCCCGGCCCCAGTCCTCAGGGCTGTGGCGTCTGTGTCCAGCCAGGTCCCCTGCCCACCAGACCTGGGGACAGGCCTGCTCTGACTCATCACTAGATCTGAGCCTCCCCAGCCCAGAACCGGTTCTAAACGGTTCACTGAACATCCCTCCCTGCAGCTCTTGCTGTCTCTTACTTGTTTCTGCCCCATCCTGTGATCTCCCTGCCACTCAACAAACATTTCCTGAGGCCTTGCCATGCTCTGGTCCCTCTGTCTGGAACACTGTTCCCCACTCTGTCCACCTGGTCACCTCTTACTCATCCTTCAGAACCCAGCAGACTGTGTCTTCTATGAGGCCACCACCCTGACGCTGCTGACTTCCAGCCAGGGTCCCCCACACTCCGTCTTCTCTGCTTCCCCATCACTTGTCACTGTTCTGGAGGCTGTGGCCTTCTAGGTCCCCACATGTCTCCCTCATTAGCCTGGAAACTCCTCAGGGCAGGTCTGACCTTGGGGTTCCACTCGGTCTAGCAGAGGACCTGTGTGTCAACAGCTGATGGTGGGCACAGGCATTGACCTCCTTCTAGGCCTTTTCTTCTGCTCTTCCCCATGGAGACCTTTTCCTGCTCTCCTGATAGCCCCTGCTCTTCTTTAAGTCCTGTTCACATGTCTCCTCATCTGTGAAGTTCTCCTTGGCCCACGAAGTGATCAGTGGCTCTCTCCTTTAATTTCCTCACCCCATTGCACCCTGACGGACCTGGGCAGTGACCACCTAGGCCTGGAGATCCATTGAGGCATCTGATCCATCTCCATGTCCCCAGCCCTGCTGAGCAGAGTCCGTGTCAGGACACCTTTACTACAAAGTGGAGGACAGACCTCCAGCCTCAGGCTGCAGCCCCTGCCCTGACTTCATACCCCACCCTCAGGGGGGCTCAGTCCCACTATGACTTCATGCAGTGGGCCTGTGACAGGCCATCAGGCTGTTGTCTATAGCTACCAGGTCTTGCCTGTCTACCGTGACTTCCAGAACACAAGCCCTTTCGTATCCACCATGCCGTCTCCACCCAAGAGATCCTCAAAGCCCAGCATGGCTCCAGCATCCACTGGGCCTTCTATGCCCGCCACAGCCCCCACACCTTCTGCCTCTCTGAAGACCACCAAATCAGCAATGCCCAACACTTCCTCAGTTCCCCTCAAGCCATCAACGGCCCCCAGCTTTGTCATGAGCCTGAAAAGTTCCAAGTCCACCAAATCAACAAGTACGAAGACTTCCAACCGGTCTAGCAGCAGGTCCCAAGTGCGCAGCAAGGCGAGAACTCCCAGTAGGGTGAGCACTGACACCAAGGCCAGCAAGGCCTGCAAGGCCAGTGGCACAGGACGCCAACCACAGAGAGGTACACACAGTCGGGGTCGAACTCCTGGCAGAAGGGAAAGCCGAGGCTCCAAGAGGTCACCCAGCCGGGCTAGCACTCACAGCAGGATGAGAACTCATGGTGCCACAGCAGGTGTAGCCAAAAAGGTGAGAACTCCTACTTCCCAGCGAAAACAGAGTAGAGGCAAGAGTTACAGCCGGCCTAGAACCAACACCCAGGAAAGAAGTGACAGCCAGCCTAAAAACATGAGCAGAAAAAATAGGAACAGCCCACAAGGAGCTGCAGGCATGGGAAGCAGCTCCAAGCCAGCTGTCACCCACAATAGGGCCAAGAGTCATAGTCCAGCTGGAATACCCTTGGAGGAGAAGGGCTTCAGCCAGCCTCTGTTGTTACTGAGGAGGGTAAAAAGCTACAGCCAGATGACGGCCCCTGGTAGGGAACAGAGTTATAGCCCAAGTGATGTGGCCTACAAGGTCAAGTGTCACATCCAGGCTAGCACCTCTAGCAGAACACGAAGTAACAGCCAATCGAGCACCCCCAGCAGGTTTAGAACCCCTAGAAAGTCAAGAAGCCACAGTCGGAAAAGGAACCACAGCAGGGTGAGGAGTTACAGTTGGAAGAGAAATCACAGTAGGGCAAGAAGTCGCACCCGGAAAGGAACTTCCAGCTACATGAGAATACACAGCCAGTCTAGAGCCCACAGCAAGGCAAAAAGTCAAAGCCAATCTAGAACCCCCAGAAGGGAAAGAAGTCACAACTTGTCTAGAACCTCTAGCCAGGAAAGAAGTCGCAGCTCATCCAGAAGTGCCAGCAAAGAGAAAGAGAGCAGCCAACATAGCATTTCCAGAAAGGAAAGAGATCACAGTCAATCTAGAACCTCCAGCACAGAGAGAGACCCCAACCGATCTAGAACCGCTAGCAAGAAGAAAGAACAAAGTCAATCTAGACTCCCCAGCAAAGAGAGAAGTCAAAGCCAACCTAGAACCTCCAGCACAGAGAGATACCCCAGCCAATCTAGAACCTCCAGCACAGAGCAGACCCCAGCCAATCTAGAACCTCCAGCACAGAGCAAGACCCCAGCCAATCTAGAACCTCCAGCACAGAGAGAGACCCCAGCCAATCTAGAACCTCCAGCACAGAGAGAGACCCCAGTCGATCTAGAACCTCCAGCACAGAGAGAGACCCCAGTCGATCTAGAACCTCTAGCAAGAAGAAACACAGTCGATCTAGGCTCCTCAGCACAGAGAGAGGTCGCAGCCAACCTAGAACCTCCAGCAAGAAAGGAGACCATAGCCAATCTAGTACACCCACCACAGAGGGAGACCCCAGCCAATCTAGAACCTCTAGCAAGAAGCGATCTAGACGCCCCAGGAAACAGATATACCATAGCCAATCTGGAGCCACCAGCAAAGACGGAGACCCCAGCCAATCTACAAGCCCTGGGAGTTTCAGCTGGAAAAGATCTCCTACAAGGACGAGGAGCTCCAGTCAGAACAGAGCCCCTCACAAGACACTGAGCCCCTCCCCATCACGATTTCCCAGTGGAGAACAACCCCTAGGCCAGGATAACAGCCAAGCCAACACAACCTCTAAGGCCACCTCACCTGGGGAAAGGTCTTCGTCATCTTCCTCCAAGCTGGCATAGCCTCCAGTCTCTGCTGGCTCACGGGTCTCTGTCATGGCCAGGGGAGGGGACAGGAGACAGAAGCAGAGCAGCAGCTGGGCGGCGTCCCTCCCTGGCCAGCCTCTCCGCAGTCACACCTCCAGCCACACGTTCTTCTAATCAAGGATGTTGGCAGGTAGACACTGGATGGGGGAAGGAAAGACCTGGGGTAACTCAATAAATTTTTACATAGCACCTGTCACCACTCTAAGCCCAGGTATGTGCTCAGTGCTAGGGACTTGGCAAAGATGGCCCCAGATGTCTGACTGCCTAGGCACCTTAACTGCAGGTCTTGCCCCTCAGTGGGCCTTCATTTGCCCAGGGCAACAAGACTCTTGTCTTATTTTGTTTTGTCACTGGGGTAGGGAGAGGTGACATTTCAAGTATTTAACAGTAAGTCCTGACATGAGCACCAATCAGAACTAAGAAAAGTGTGGGGAAGGGGAGGCAGTTAGTCCAGGCATTAACCCTTTGGTTGCGGGATTGTGGAGAAGTCAGGGCTGAGAGAGGATCCAGGGGGCTGTGAAGGACACGGAACACTACTCAGCCTGGAAGTTATTTCAGTATTTAAACAATTGATCAGACTGTACTAGTTGGGGATGTAAGCCTTCTATATCAACTGGCAAGAGTGTCTGGGGTTAGCCTGGTGCCAGTGGCTCACACCTGTAATCCTAGTTATTTGGGAGGCTAAGATCAGGAGGATGGTGGTTCAAGACCAGCCTGGGCAAAACAGTTCTCCAGGGCCCATCTCCAAAATGACCAGGGCAAAATGGGCTGCAGGAGTGGTTCAAGTGCCTGCTTTGCAAGAGCAAAGCCCTAAGTTCAAATCCCAGTGCCACCAAAAAAAAAAAAAAAAAGTGTTGAATGTCAATGTGTCACTCTCTAGTGTGTACCTTCAAGAAAGGACCTCATTCCTCTAGTCTTTTCTTACTGTAGGAAAGGGGATTCAGGCCTTGGCTGATGTACTCCTTACAACATGTGGAGACATTCACTCCTACGTGCAGAAAAGGAAGCCAAGGCACAGAGAGGACAGGCAGGTAGCCACAGGTCACACCATCTGGTAGGTGGTTGAACTAGGATTTGAAGCTATGCCAAAAGATTTCTGAAGATTCAGTAAACTCATTCATCTAAGTTGCTGGTCCATGACAGGAACTCCACACAGTGGCGGCTACTACTCCCATGCCTGCCCTTCTATAACTTCTAGCCAATCCAGACTCCTCACCTCTGTCTGTAGACACAGCCTTTTTGCATTCTGGGTGCTTAGTGTACTTCCTGTTGCCATCTGAAATGCCCCTTGTAGGTCTGGAAAACTCACTTTTACCCTTTAAAACCCACCATAAATAGAAGACCCCTATACTTTTTCCCAGTCCTAATACTCCCTCTGCTGCTTCCAGGAAGCCTGCCCTGATTCCTCTCTTTTCTCTCCCTCTTTACTAACAGTCCCCCCCCCCACACACACACACACGGCATCTGTTCTGTCTCCCACTGTACTTCCTGATGGTAGAGACCTATGCAGGTCAGTTAGTGAAGGGCACAGTGTCAGCTACATCCACTTTCTTTCCTTCCTCTCCCCTTGTTCCCCCCCTCATCTCTCCCTTCATCCCTCCCTTCCTCCTTCCTTCTCTCTGTTCATTTTTTTAAGGAAGGTCTAGAACTTGTAATGCTCTTGTTTTGTAATCCTCCTGCTTCTGACTCTGAGTGCTGGGATTATAAGTGTACGCTTAATGCCTGGCTGTGGTCAGCTCTATTGTGGTATAATTTAAATTTTGATTTCCTGTGGTATAATTTACACCTGGCTCAGTTACACCCCTTATATGCCAGGGCCTGTGTTGGGCACTAAGGATACAATGATGGAAAACACACAATCTCTTCAAAGCCAAGAGGTCAAGTTCACTGCTGGGAACTAAAGAGAAAAAAATTCAAGTCAGGCATGGCCCGTAATCCCAGCTACTTGGTAGGTGGAAGTAGAAAGAGACTTCCAGGTCAGTTAGGGCAAAGTTAGAACAAAACAAGACAGTGCTGGAAACGTAGCTCAAATGGTAGCGCGCTTGTTCACTGCAGGAGGACTTTCAAAAAAGTGAATCTGGACTTCTAAAGACAGAATTCATAATCGGCAAAGAAGCAGTCTCAGGATTGTCTCCTGCACGTTTGGCCCCATTTGGCCCTAATTTGGGAGTTCTACCTTAGGCCTAGATACAACTGCCAGACTTAGCAAATAAAAACAGGATGCCCAATTAAATTTGAATTGCAGATATGTTCCAAAATTATTTACGTATGTTCCAAGATTATGTACCTGAAATTAAATTTAACTAGACAGTTTAAATTATATACTGTTATATAATTTTAAATGCCTTTGTGTGTGTGTGTGTGTGTATGTGTGTGTGTATGGTGGTGATTCTGGGGCTGAACCCAGGACAACACACACACACAGGACAGGACAGGGGAGCCACGCCCCCAACCCTTTTGTTAATACTGTTTTTTGAGATACCAGGTTGGCTTTGATCTCCTGATCCTCCTGCCTCCAGAGGAGCTGGTTTGGGTATTCAAAAATTTTTTTTTTTCTGGGCGGTACTGGAATTTGAGCCTAGGCTTGCCAGGCAGGCACTCTTGCCACTTGAGCCATTCAGCCAGCCCTAGTTTCTGTGGTGGTCCCCCTGGGCTGGTTTTGAATCGTGATCCTCCAGGTCTCTGCCTTCTGAGTAAGCTAAGATTACAGAGGAGCACTACCACGCCCGGTTTCTTTATTTCCATCTGGCAAATACACACCAGGGACAATAAGGACTTCCCATGAGGTTACCTCGAGACAATGCCCACCAGTCCAGCCTGCCCCTTCCCAAACCCACATCACACAAGGCCTCCTCTAGAGTATCCCACACATGAGGTGGAGGCATCCCTTAGTTCCAGAGTCCCACTTCTGCAGCAACACCTATGGCGGCTGGACTGGGTTCCAGGATCGTAGGTCATCAACGAAGCTCGATCACTACCATAAGGCAAATACCGTGACCCAGACCCCACAAAGCCCTGAATCTAGCAACCAACTCCCCTAAAGGCCCCCGTGAACACAATAGGAAGCCAGGACCAAAACTTTATACAAAGCAATAAGGACCAGTCCCCACATCTTCCCAGGATGCCTCGGGCCTATAGCGACCACTTTCCAAGCCGCCATGCATCTGAGCACTCCAAGCTTCTAGGATGCTCAGCGGAAGGTGTCTGACAAAAGGGACCAGGATCCCCACAAAGAGCTAGGGTAATAATCCTTCCGCAAATGCACGGAGCCTAACGCCTGGCAGACCGACTCCCACGGTGCTGTCAGGCGGAACGCCCGGTTTTCCCAGGATGCCCCAGGACAGTGCAGAGCCGCGTGGGGGGAGAAAAGGGAGCCTAGGTCTCGCCCTCGGGTCACGACTGCTGGCGGTGGCTCGGTGACAGCAGCCCGCCGTTCCCATCATGCAGCGGGGCCGTAGCGCCCGCTTCCCAGCATGCCCCGCGCACCCCGACCCCGGACACTCACCGGCGCCGGCGGCCCCGGCTCGGGCTCGGCGGTGGCTGCTGCACGCCCGGGCTCTGCGCCTGCGTTGCAAGGAGGGTAGGAGGGAGACAGCAAGGGGCGTGAGGAGCCTAGGGCGCTTGCGCAGCCAGATGGACCATTCCTGTCTCACTATGGGAAGAGGGGCTCTCGGAATCGGGCGGTCCACCGAACCGGCTCAGGGGGTGTCGTGCTCTGCCCCTCGCTGTCCGGTTTACTTGGTACAGTCCGCGGCCCGCAGGATCGGGAAGCTGCAGGGCGCGCGCGTGCGTGTGCCGAGCAGGAGCGCGCCTAATAGAAACAGGATGAGCTCGGGGGTGGAGGGCGACTAGTCGGCCCAGGATCCTGAACTCGACTCTTACTCATTTGCCTAATCCTAGTGCGGGACAATGGAAGGCCTCCCTCACTGAAGAGTGATTTACATATTCCTGGGAGAGGCTGTACTCCCGAGCGCAGGGATTAGCATATGGACTGGGGGGAGGGGGTCGTCTGAGCACCGCATGCGCATAAGGACTGCAGTCTTACGCGAAGTGGGTAGCCTTGTGTTAGATGGGGGGCAAGTCGCATTAGATGACAGCGCACAAAGGCCAGGATCTCGACCAACCCTCACACCCCTTCCAACCAGAATAAATATTGATCTTTTATATGTCAGGTCTTGTGCTGGCAAGCACTATGGTTTCTGCAGTGAATAAAACAGCTCTTGCCCCCATCCTCGTATGACCTCACAGGGAGAACCTGATTAGACTGCTACCTAGAACTGTCAGACCTGGAATGGGTGAGGCACAAGTAGTGCCTGCCCCCGGCCTGGGCTTCCAAGAGGTGAATTTTAAACCAAATATGAACAGGAGCCAATTAAAATGGGACTCTTTTCAGCAGAGGGGACTGCAAGGGCAAACACCCACAGGCAAAGAAGTGCTTGGTTTGATTGAGGAAGTGAGGCAGCCCTGTATCCCTGGAACACAGAATTGGCGAGGAGAAAGGTTCCTATAGGTGATTTTAAAGAGCTCAGATTTTACACGTATAGAAGTTATCCCAATATTCCAGGCTTTTTGAAGAAGTGACTCACTCAGCAATTTAAAACTCTACCATGGTGTCCTATTACACCTGTGCGGAAAGCCACTCTATCCTGATCTCAGAGGCCTGGCCTGGCCCTGCTTCTTTCTGACCTCCCCCACCCTCAAGTACCTAATCTCTTTACCATCTCAGGCCTTTGATTTTGCTGTTCCCATTACCTGAAAATGCTCTTCCTTCTGATCTTTGACTAGCTACTCTGCTTACTATTCCTATCTAGACACGTATCAGTCAGAGAGGCTTTCCTTGATTAAAACAGTACCTCTGGATCTGATGGGGTTATGAGTAAGCAGTACTATGAGCTGAGGGTGGCTGAAACCGAGGTGAAGGGTACATGGGACTTTGTGGCCCTTCCTGTCTACTTCAGTATGTTTTCCATAATTTGAAATAAAATATATCCCCCCCTACATTTTATCCTAATAGCTCTTATCACAATCTGAAAATGTTTCTTTACTTCCTTCCTTATAGTCTGTTTTCTTCATAAAAGCATCACAAGGATCAGAATAGTCACATTTCACTTTGGATCCTCAGAGCCCAGAAAAGGATCAAATTTTAGATTACTGTTAAACTGTCTGTAGTACCAATAAGAATTATTGGCTGGGTTTTGTGAAACAGGGTCTGGATATGTAAGCCCAGGCCGACCTCAAACTCTAGATCCTCCTGCCCCCTCCTCCCAACTGCTGGAATTATAGAAATGAGCCTCCATGTAGGCTTTTTTTGTTTTTAAGAGATGGATGGTCTCAAACAAGATATGATGGCACTGTTCCCGTAAAACCAGTAATCTCAGCACTTAGGAGGTGGAGGCAGGAGGATCTAGTGTTTTCAGCCAGACTGGGCTACATTGCAAGACCTTGTCTCAATTTAAAAAAAAAAGTTTTCCTGGATATTAATGTCGGGTGGAGGTGAGGAAAGCCCAGGACTAGGGTCCAGGCCTTGGGGATGGGGCCAGGGAAAACTCAGTTGCTATCAAAGAGACAAGACTCAGTGACTATTAAGCTAAAGCCAGGAAAAAAAAAGGCAGTTTCTCACGACAGTGGGACAAGGTGTCCTTGCAGAAGTCAGAAGCCTTTCCTGCTCTATTCCAGCAATCTTAAAACTCCCCTCCCTCCCCCACCCTTGTTCCCTTCCTACTGGTGCAGCCCAGGCAGAGGGACAGACACACAGCCACCCCAAGCACTTGTTCTCTCCTCAGTTTAATGGTGGTTAGTGGGATTGCCAAGCCCCCTCCCCATTCCCCTCCCCGCCCCGTACAAAAATGTGTTTTTAAACAAGAAAAAGGGGGCAAAAGCCAGGAATGGGGGGAGGGGGTGCAATCTGATATTTTCTTACAGATTTTTGAATTTTTAATATATTATATATAAAACCATAGAGACCACGCATCCCCCCAAACTCCTTTCCCCCTCCCCGGGGGGCCTGGAGGAGAGATGAGGAAGGCCCCCCCAGGAGTGGGTGGACACACAAATATGGGTGGGACAGACATAGGGGAAGGGAGCCCAGGAACCTGGAGAAGGGTGATTGGAGATTAGGGTTGGGGCTGTCTCCCTCACTGCCCCCAACAAAGTTTTGACACAAAGACACAGAATCCCTGTTCCCACGCCCTCCCCCCACCCTTCCCCCCACCGTGCAAACATGGCTTTGCAAAGAGGTGCCCAGAGCTCTGTGGAACTCTAACAATGGCTGGCATGGGGTCTGGGACCCCCCAAAGAAATCTGTGTTCCCCTTCCCTGCCCACCCACCCTTCCCAGACTCTGACCCCCTCCCTACAAGACCTGGTTCTGTCGCCTAGGGGCCCTGGCCTTCCCCCGGTTATCTTCCCCCAACCCAATCCCTACTGCCCTCCCTGACTTGGGGGTCTGGACCTTTGGCCTCTGCCCCCTGGGGGACCCGGACTTCTGGGCCCTTACTTCTGGCCCTGGCTGAGATCCAGGCATCCAACACCCCATCCCTGCCCAAGCATCTGAGGTGTTAGTGGTGGGGGGAGAAGCCCACCATCCCAGACTCTGGTAAATGTCTTTGCTGGTTCCTTGCAGCTGGCAGTGGGGGGAGCCCCAGCCCAGGCCCAGGCCTGGGGTGGGGGTGGGGTCAGATAAAGAATTCTTCTTTCCTCTTGTGTCCCTCGCTGCCATTGAGGAAGGCTTCTCTTGCTTCTCCCTGCTCATCCAAGCCACTGGCCTCGTGGGTCAGATAGGAGCCTGAGAGGTACCATACCCCAGGGCAGCAGAAGTTGGACAGAGACGCATGGGAAGCGGGAGAAGCGGAACATATGGAGAGGGAGGTAGATCCAGGGAAGAACAAAACAGTGTAAGAGAAAGAGGTAAAAACAGAATTAGGGAAATTCCAAAAGCCCCGCCCCCATTGGAATCCCAGCCAGAGGTCTCGTGGGATTTCGAATCCAAGGTCGGCTCTGCCTTGTTACCCTGGTTCTTAGCCCGTGCTCTTCCGAATCCGGGCTCTAGACCCCGCCCCTTCCGAATCCCACAACCAACCACACCCTTTGCTGGCTTCAGGCCCCGCCCCCCACTCACCCTTCTGTCGTACGGAGCACCAGACCATGCCCACTAGCACACATATGATCAGAAACACCAGTAGCGCCAGGATGCCGCCAACAATGGCATAGGGAACCGACGTCTGAGCTTCTACCACCGCACCGGGGTCTGCCGGAAGGACGGGCGCAGGACCAGGCCATCAGAGATGGCCCAATCTACGCCCACGCTGCCAAGCGCTTCGGCCATTGTGCAGACCACAACCAACCGCGCCCCTTTCTGTGCCATGCGCCTCAAAATTGCTGCCATCTCCTCTTTCCAGATGCTCTACGTCCTCAAGGAATACTTGGTTTCTACATTGTCTGATCCTAATCCCCGCCCTGCCTCCTTCGCCCCCCCAAGGACAGACACACATATCACTTTTATTTTGATTCAGTGCTCCCCGGAGAAAAATAAAGTCCAAGCCCAAGAAACAGCTGTTTGTGCACCGAATCAGTCTCTTTGCTCACGCTCCGCCCCCAACGCCCCGCCCCGGCCCGGAGCCCCGCCCCCGCCCTCACCGTATACCACCAGCACGTAGAGCGCCCTCGCGTGGCCGTGCTTGTTCGATGCCTCGCAGGTGTAGGTACCGTTATCCGCAGATACCAGACCCGGAAGCGTGAGCGTCTCCCCCACTGCCTCTGCTCTCTCTGGCAGAGACTCATTCCCACGATTCCAACGGATCTGGTTTGGCCTGGACGGGATAAAGTACAGTAAGAGTTAGGAACGCAGGTGCCAGCACCCAAGTCTGATTTAGGATTCTAGACGTATAGCTCTCACTCACCCCGCACGAACCTGAAAGTGAAAGGCTCCCTCCTAGCCCTTTCCTTCCTGGAAAACCAAGAGGCCTGGGCTCAGCTTCCTTCCTGTCACCGGGATCTCAGGAATGCTAGCCCTCCTAGGCCCCTTCCACCCTGGGAATCCAAGAGTCCGGGACTCTAGAGGCTGTTTCTTCATGATTCAGAAGGCGAGCCCAAGATCCCTCCTTCCTAGGACCCAGAAGTCCAGATCCCAGCTCTCTGCTCGCCGAGGCCCTTCTTTGCTGAGACTCGGGTGTCCAAGACCCCCATCCTTCTTCTCAGGACCCCAGAGCTCACCTGGGGTTGCCCGTGACAGCGCACGTCAGCACCAGCGTGTCTCCCTCCCTCACCACAGCTTGGGAGGCGTGGATCCTGGCCGTGGGGGAGTCTGCGGGCCGAAAGAAGAAGGGAGATGATGCGGAGCTAGGGGGCCACTAGAGACAGGCAGCTGTGTGGATAGGGACCCCTGGGGCCCTGCCCGCCGGGCACTTACACTGCACGTCCAGCACGTACTGCGTCTGCTTGCTGTGTCCAGAGGGCAGCGCCTGGTTTTGCGCTTCGCAGATGACGATACCACCGTCGTCCTTTCGGTCCACGCGGAATCGGACGGTGCTCGCCACGCTCCAGACCTTGCCATTTTCCTGGCCGCTGCTCACTCCTGCCACGCCAAGCCCAGACACGGGTCAGGCCAGGATTCTCCGATTCCGTCCTCCACCAGTCCCAATGCAGGCTATTTGCCAATCCCCGCCCCACCCACAGGCCCCGCCTCCTCATGTTCTCTAAGCCACGCCCCTCGCCAAACTCAAGTCTCTTCCCAAAATCTCTCTTTCACACCCACGCCTTCTCATTGATCAGTTAATTTAGCCGCTGAATATCTAATGCAGGATTTGTGCGAGCTTCTCCAGGCTCCACCCACTTCCCTAAGCCACGCCCTCTCAAGTCCCGACCCGGGCCTGCATCCGGCCCTGGTACCTTTCAGCTCCTTGCGGTCACGGTACCAGCGCAGGACTGCTGCGGGCCGCGACCGCGGAACTAGGCAGCTGAGCTCCACCTCGCCGCCCTCCACCGCCTGCTCTCGGACCTCCACCACCGGATTCTCCGGGGCCACTGCGCAAGGGAGAAGGGGTGCAGGTGGTTAAGGGAGGCACCGAGGTCGGCTCAAACCCGGCTGCAGATTCCAGGGATCAAAGGGAATCGGGGTCCCAGGTGTCGGGAGTCAAACCCGGAGACTAGAGGTCATGTTTACTGCAGCCAGATGTCCAGGAGGTTACCAATATTCAGAGGGACAAGAGGGTCTCAGGACAAAAGAAGCAGCAGAGGATGGAGGAGGTCGCGGGAAGCTGCTACCTAGGACAGTGAGAGTGGCAATCTGGTGGTGCGTGTCCTCTGTATAGAGCTGGCAGAAGTAGCCCCCCTCGTCCTCCAGGCGGGCATCTGAGAGCCGGATGCGCACCCGGCGCGGGGAGAACTCCTCAAGCTGGAAACGCTCGTCCTTCAGGGCTAAAGAGTGAAGAGGAAAGCGTGGACCTGGGGAGTTCTGGCCTCAAGACCCCCACCCTCCAGGAGCTCAGATCCAGCGCTCCAGCCAGACCTGTGAGTCCGAGCTGCCCAAGTGTTTACTCCCTTGGGACCCAGAATTGTTCAGGTCCTCCTGCCCTCTCTTCGTTCCAGATGCCAGTGCCAGTGCCCAGGCCTCAACACTCACCTCGGGTGCCATTGAAGAAGAGGGTCTGCCGGGCGGGGTTCTGGATGACCACAATGGATCCATCATATTGATGCAGACGGCAGGTGATCTCTGCCACCCCACCCTCAGCCACTGTCACGTTCTCTGTCTGTACTTCCTGTCCTGTCCCTGGACCAGCAGAGATAGATTAGGAGACTCACTTAAGGCTATAGTCCTTTCTTTCTCTCTCTTTCTCTGTTCCTCTCCCATCCAACCCTCCAACCTGTCTCCTGTCCCCTCATTTGGTTCATGTTACCTACCTAACATTTCCGGTGGGCTAGAGCCCAGAAGCAGGAGAAAAATCTCTCTAGAGGGCACAGGGCACACTAGAAGCTAGAGGAAAGGTGGTCACGAAAGGCTCTAGAAGAAAGCCCCGTTGGATGTGACTTGCACTGACCAACAGAATTTGCTAGAAGTGATACTGTAGGAGCCACAGACCCCAGGCCTGAAGAGGTCTTGCAGCTTCCTTGTGTGCCCTCTGCTGCCCAGAGATTGCTGGGTGGAAGAGATGCCCAGCCAACAACCAGCACCCGATACCTGCCATGTGAGGAAGGCCATCCTGGATTACCAGGAGACTGGGGCCACACAAGTGACCCCAATTGAGACCAAGAGAAGTCTGCCTACCTGACACAGCCCAAATCACTGACCCAAAGTCATGAGCAAATGAGTGATTATTGTTTTAAGCCACTAAATTGGGGTTTTGTTGTCATTTGTGGAGTTTGAACTCAGGGCTCTGAACTTGCTAAGCAAGTGCTCTATCACTTAACCCACACCCACAGCCCTTTTTGCCTTAGTTTATTGCAGGTGGGGTCTCATGCTTTTTACCCAGGCCAGCCTCAGACCTCAATCTTCCTGTTTCCCGAGTACTAAATTTTGAATGGTCTGTTCCACCGTAAAGTTAAACAGATGCATCACACACCTACACTACTTCCGCCAGCATCCTTTGTAGCTGAATGGAGCCACGTGACTGATCTCTGGCCAATGGTTTGTAGACAGGAGAGACCACTACCTCCTCCCACTGGGCCCTCTCCCTCACAGTCCAGCAGGCTGGCTGGCTGGGAGGACTCCAGGGACTCTAGAGACGGGTAGGCTCACAAACTGGAAGGAGCCCTGGTCCTTGACTGGCTGTTATCCACCACCTGCCAGTTCAGGATTGCAACGTGGGCAAGCAACACACTTTTGTGCTGCACCATTGAGTTTCAGGGCTGTTTGTTACAGCAGTTTACCTATCCTGACTAATCCATTGGAGAAGTGAGTAGGGGAGGGATTCAAGATACGAAAGGGAGTGTTGAGCTGGAGGTGCGGCTGGAGGGTGGAGTGCTTGCCCAGCATGCTCAAGGCCCTGGGTCCCATCCCCAGCACCACAAGAAAAAAGAAGATAAACTGGGCGCCAATGGCTCGTGTCTGTAATCCTAGCTACTCAGGAAGCAGAGATCAGTGGGATTGAGGCTTGAAGCCAGCCCCAGCAACTAGTCTCACAGACTATCTCGAAAAAAAAACATCACAAAAAAGGGCTGGCAGAGTGGCTTGAGGTATAAGCCCAACACTAGAAAAAAAAAAAGGAAAAAGATGAGGAAAAAGGAGAAGAGAAAGAGCAGATGAGGAAGAAGAAAACAGTCTAGCAAAAAGCCAAAAACCAAGAGTAATCAGCAGTAACATTACTGTCAAGGTCATTGTCATCTGCAAATAACAATAACTACCATAGCTACCGTTTATTAGGTACCTGCTATGCTAGCCCCCTGCTAAGAGCATTACCTGTATAATTTCCATTTAATCTTCACAATACCTGTAGAAGGTAGGCACTATTTTCTTTTTGTGTGTGTGTGGGGTACAGGGGTTTCAACTCAGGGCCTCACACTTGCTAGGCAGGTGCTCTACCACTTGAACCACACCTCCAGCAAAGGTAGGCACTATTTTCAATCCCCATTTTCCCCAATTCCCTTTTTAATTTTAATTATATTTATTTATTGGTGCTGGGGCTTGAACCGAGGGTCTGTGTTCAAATTTCCTATTTTTTTTTCCTTTGGCAGCACTGGTGTTTGAACTCAGGGTCTCAAGCTTGCTAGGCAGATGCTCTACAACTTGAGCCACTCCACCAACCCTTTTTTTATGTTGGGTTTTTTTTTTTAGATAGGGTCTCTGGAACTATTTGCCTGGGACTGGCTTCAAACTGCAATCTTCCTGATCTTTGCTTCCTAAGTAGCTAGGATTACAGGAGTGAGCCACCAACGCCAGGCTCCAATTCCCAATTTATAGGTGAGGAAACTGACCCAGAAAGATGAAATGACTTGCCCAAGGTCACAGCTGAGAGTGGCAGAGCCAGGATCTGGACTCAGATCTCTCTGATCTCATGTCCTACATCCATACCTACTCCCTGCTGTGTGGCCAAAGTGTTCCCCACTAGCAAGGGATTGTGGGATATGCTTGTGATGGGTCTGGAATGATGAGCTAAGTCTTTTTTTTTTTTTTTGTCCTCTGGTATGCTAAGCAAGTGCTCTACCACTAAACTCCCCTCTAGCCATAAACCTATTCTTTTATCCTAAAGAGCAAGTGGAGGTTTTGAAGTCTCACTATGTTACCCAGGTGGGTGTCAAACTCCTGGCTCAAGTGATCTTTCTGACTGAGTCTCCTGAGTGCTGGGATTATAGGTATACGCCACAGGGCCCTGCTGGTTATTTGTCTTTAAAGGCCAAGTACTGTCCATGTCTCTTACATTCTGTTGGCTCATTTGAACATTGCCTGAGCCTCATGTAGGTTTCAGGGGCTGGGTACCTGGAGATGAGTAAGGTGAGGTCTCTGCCCTGAAAACCCTTTAAGGTTTATGAGGAAGTAGACACAAATCAATGTAATAGCCCATCAAAAGTGTTCTATTTTCTTCTAAGAGGCTAGGTTGGTCAGGGGTAAAAAAGATTAATTCTGTGGGACAGAGGCAGAGACTGCTGGCTTCCTATCGCTCTTCCATTTCTCCAAAGTAAAACAACCCTGATTCGACTATGGTTGCCCTATGTCCAGCAGAAAGTCTTCCTTGCAGCAGGGAGAGGCCATGTGGTAAGGTTTTGTCCAAATGGATATATAAGCAAAAGTGTCACGAACCAATTTCGGGAGTATTTCCTAAAAAAAAAAAGGGCGGGGCAAGTTCTTTTTCTATTGGGTCATCTTTGTGCTGCTTAAAACAAGGATGTGATGCATGGAATTGTGGCAGTTATCTTGGGCCATGAAAACAAGGGAAGTAGGAGTGGTGGGACCAAGAACTGGGATGTAACTGGGCATCGATGAATAGAACGGCCATAACAGCTCTGGACTCCTACTTCTGGACGTCTTTTGTTAGAGGATCACATACTGGGTATTTAAGCCATTATTTGGGGTTTTACCATCACCTCCAGGAATGTCAAGCTTAATTTATCCAATTCTAATCCCAAAGTTTCCAATCTCTGTCTCTCTCTGTGTCTCTCTCTCTCTCACTCTCTCTCTCTCTCAGTCTTGCACTTTGCACTTGCTAGACAGGTGCTCTACCACTTAAGCCACTCCTCCAGCCCTTTTTGCTTTAGTTATTTTTTGGATAGGGTCTCATTTTGCCTGGACTGACCTCCAACTGTGATCCTCCCTGATCTCTACCTCTTGAGTAGCTGGAATTACAGACATGAGTTACGGCACCCACTCCCCTCCCCAAGATTTTACAATCTCAATAAATGTAAACCTCACCTAGTTGCTCAGGCCAAAATCCTAGAAATCACTCAAGTCTTTTCCCTTTCCTTCCCCGACACTCACTCCATCAGCGGTATCTGTCCATTCTTACCTCCAAAATACATCCAAATCTATTCACCCTGTCTACCTTGCTCACCACCACCACCGCCACCCCCAACAGCATCACGTCTCACATGAACCCTTCAAGAGCCTACCACGTCCATGCCTGCCTCCTGTGAGGCCTTCTCCATTAGCAGACAGAAATATTTTATTTCTGAGACATGGTCTCACTGTGTAGCCCAGGCTGGCCTGGAACTCTTGATCCGTCCTGCCTCAGTCTCCTGAGTTCTGGGATTACAGGCATGCACCACCATGCCCAACTTAGACAGATTTCCCAAAAAGGGAAGTCAGATCAAGTCAGCTCTCTGCTTAAGATCCTCCAAGGGTACTGGGGTGTAGCTCAGTGGCAGAGCACTTGCCTAGCATATACAAGGCCCTGGGTTCAATCCCCAGCACCATCATTGCCATCACCACCATCACCATCACTGCCCTCACCACCACCAAACCTGGGAGGACTCATATTACATTTAGAATAACATGTAAACGCCCATAGAACTTCAAGATGTGCCATGGCCCAGACCCTCTGTGAACCCACTTCCCACCTCTTTCCTGCTACTCACTACACTCCAGGCTCACTGTCCCTCAAATACGCTCGGTAGCTGGGCACTGGTGGCTCACTCCTGCAATCCTAGCTACTCAGGAGCAGATCAGGAGGATCGAAGTTCAAAGCCAGCCTGGGCAAATAGTTCCTGAGACCCTATCTTGAAAAAAACTCATCACATGCACAAAAAAAGTGCTGGCGGAGTAGCTCAAGGTGTAGGCCCTGAGTTCAAACCCCAGTACCACAAAAAAACAAAACAAAACAAAACCACTCAGCTTGCTTCCACCTCAGGGCCTTTCCGCGTGCTCTTCCCTCTGCCTGGAATGTTCTCCCCTGCACCCACCATCCTAGGGCTGCCTTTGTTCTCACTTGAGTCTCTGATCTCTGACCTCCCTTACTTCCAGGTCCCTTCGCCTCCAAGAAATTTTCTGTTTCCTCCCTATTGACTTATGTCCTCTATGGAAATGTCATCTACTCTCCACGAAGGCAGGGATGAAATGTGTGGGGTTTATGGCTGCCCCCTGGTGCCTGGAAGTGTGCACAGCCATGATAACTGTGTGGGGAGGCTGCTGAAGGACCTACACATGCACAGCAGGATTTCACTTCAGCCTTGCGATTGTGGGAAACCATCATTTTCATCAGAAACACCAAGTGGGTCCCAACCCCACTGCTTGCCATCAGTGTGACCATGATACCTTTGTGAGCCAAAGTCGCCCAGCCTAGAAAATGGCCACGGTGCCAGTGCTGGCCTTACAAAAGTGTGCCAGGTGCCTGGGGCTCAGGGATAGCCCTCCTCCCC